CTTGGTACTTAAAGTCTAAATGTCCCCTTGATGTCGATACTTTTCCACATGTTTTATCAGTAAGTCCCCATCTGTGCCCCTCATCAGCTGAGCTACTGGGTGCTTTTCGGTGACAACCAACTGTCATAACAATATCCAGACACAGCCACCTCATAAACTGCTTTACTTAAGTCACAAACAAATAGATCAAAGCAACCGCACCTACATCACAAATACCGTGTTTTGATGTGTATAATGTGCACTATTTTCCCCAAATTTTGAGGGAAAAATAAGGATGCACATTATACACATTATACATGGGTAATGCCTGAAATATCTTGTATCTGTTCTTATGTTTTGTCATTGTTTGTCACATAAAACTACTTATACCATAATATGTTCAAAAATAAATGTTAAAATTCCTTTATAATACAAAAAATAAATGGTCCTCAGCTCTGGTTGTGTATCTAAATACAAATAAATAAAAATGGAATTAAAACATTAAAATGAAAGCTTTTTTCCTAAAAGTTTGGGCCCAAAACATGGGTGCACATTATACATGGCAAAATACGGTAAATGGGCTTGAAATTATATCAAATTAATACACAAGTCCCGGCAGGTGTGTCTCCGTTGGTTAGAACATCTCCCAGTGCGGCAAACTGAAAGGTCATGCATGCGTTTGATTCCTGGTCAGGCCAGGAACACGCCTGAGTTTCGAGCACGGAGGGGCAATCGATAGATGCTTCTCTCACATCCGTGCTTCTCTCCCTTCCTTCCCCTGTCTCTAAAACCAGTAAGCATGTCTTCGGTGAGGATTTTAAAAAATCAATACACAAGACGAGGAAGCTTTATTTAAAGATGAATAGTTGAAAACAGTAATCAGATGAAAAGATTAAAAAGAGAGCAAAATACCCACTAGATTGGCAAAAATTCAAAAGGGCAACAATATCCAGCAATCTCAACCTGAGGCTCTACCTTATACCAATAAAGGCACCACCATACCACAGAGGAAGCTGAAATAGGAGAACGACTGAATAAAATATGTAACCACTAAAAAGTATAGGTTAGATCTACATTCTGACCTAGAAGAATGTCTAAAACATTTTATTTAGTGGAAAAGAACAAATTTCAAAGCAATATATATAATATGATTCTATGTTTATTTTTAAAGAGAAAAGAAAAAGGCAAAATCTCTTATAGGTTTATATATGTAATATATATCATGCATATACCTATTATATACCCACATTTTAAATATAAATGTATGTATAAATAAACACCCATTAGAAGCATGAGATTTAGAGAGGATTTGAAAAAAGACGGATGAAAGGAAGAGAGAAGGAAGACTGATTTCTCATTAAATATGAACTTTTCTCCCCAAATCTCTGAGTGGAACTGCAGCCAGCTGCCTCTGTGTCTTTGTGGACTGCTAGTGCACCACTGCCTGCCCCAGGGTCGGCACAGACCCGTTTGGGAAGCGACGTGTTATAACGACATAAAATTAACCAGATGGTGCCTTGGGGGTACGGAAGCTTCATATCAAATCACACGCAGAGTCTCACCACCCTCTCACCTGGAGGCCCAAGCTGGTATTTGCTCCTAAAGCTATAGAAGAGGGACAATGACAAAAGGGAGAACCCTAGGGTCAGGCATGAGCATAGTGAGGCCACCTTCACTCTGTGAGAGGAGGGCAGAGGACCTGTAAAAAAATATACATTTGAGATATTTGAAGGGCTGTGCTGTGAAGAGGGAACAACGTAACACGCAGTGCCATAGAAATATGATAGAAGAAAGAGGAGGCATAAGGGGGCTGATTTGAGCTCAGCGTAAACAAAAACCTGCTAACTGAGAGTCCCTTGACTCCCGATTTTCTCTTCTATAAAGTGAGAAGAATACCACATACTTTTAACAAGAACATTGAGATGCATTAAGGATCGAATGGGCAAACTGTAAGCCGGCAATGTGTCAGCTGGAAAGCGGTGGTCCTCAGCTCTGGCTGCGTATTAAAATCACTTGGGAAAAAACCATCAAAACAACTTACTGGGAGAGTTGAAAAAATCCCGATGCTCTATCCGGCTTCCATCATAACCTCTGGAGGCGGGACTCAGGCACTTTTAAAGATCCTCTCAGGTAATTCAACTAAATAGTTCCCCTGAGAACCACTGATCCAAAATAATTAGTAGTTGCATTCCTGGTGGTTGTGAAAAATAAGCAGATTTAACCTCAGGCAGATCTGGGAGACGATTTTTAAAATGCCCATTAATCTGTGCATTGGAGCAAAGGTTAGAGCTGACCAGTCAAGAGCATGATTGACAGTGAAGGCTGTCTCCTTACAGGTCCGTGCTAAGCAGCGCAGGAGGGCCTAGCCCCACTCATTTTCCCGACAGATCCCAGACGGGAAGATAAGGGAAACACACTGATGAAGAAACAGTTTGTGGACTTTAGCATCCCCCCAAAAAGTGCTTGGGGTTCCTCTGCATCAGCTGTGGGCTGATTCTATTGTATATGCTTTTATTATCCAGGCTTTTTGGCCGTGACCCTGTAATTGACTGAATACACCCATTAAATAATTAGAGCCCGGAGAGTGATTCTTAATTATAGGCCACTGAGCACAGCTCTCAGCCATTTCTACTTGTTCCAGTTGTATATGCGATGGTTAAGCTGTCATGCTGGTGGCACTAGCCCTGACATGGGTGGGGTCGGGGACACTAACAAGGCCAAGCATAGAGAGACAGATCAATGTAAGCTCCTTGCTTTCCCCTCCCCTCCCCAATCGAGAACCACTCTCCCATCCTCCCCACCCCCTCAAAGAAAAGAGATCAAGCTAAGAACCCCAAACCTGTTGCCTGACTGCACACTTGAGGAGAGTGATTTGAAAGCAGCATTGCCAAAAAGATGGATTCTGATGAATCAGCCAAGTGACTCAGCATCAGCAGCTCAGGAGAGCTAATCTAGAGTGTGGGTGAGCGCAGGTGGTCCTGCCCTGTGCTGAGGTCAGTCCTCTTGGGTTTGGGCAGGCCGGGGCTGAGCCCAAGGCTTCAAGGGAGGCCAGGTCCAGAAGGCCAAAGGGCAAGCAATGAAGGTGGGGAGGTTAGGAATCAAGTATTGTATGAGGGTTGACCCATTGACCTCTGTGACTTACTTACAGTAGCCATAATCCAGTGATGCATTTATGGTGCTTTCAAAACTCACACTTCTCCCCTGGAGTAATCAAGTCCTGGTGCCCTGGGGACCACAGCCTTGGCTGGGAATCAGGTTACTCTCTTCTAGTCCCTGCTTCCCCTCCTCCCTTCCCCTACTTCAGCTGACCAAGGCAGATCTGGCCTGGCCTGCAAAGTCCGATTTTGGAAACATAATGATCACAGATGTACGCGTCCCGTGCCCGATGCTGGGGGAGCCATGGAGCAGAACAGCATGCTCAGAAACAGTTCTTCTGCTTGTCCTCCAGCGTTTGTAGACCAAGGAGGAGGTGAGAGGAGGCAGTTTCCATAAAACATGTAGCTGTTACTGATAATTAAACTTGTTTTTTTGTTTTTTTAAAGAAAAAGCCTCTGGGGAGAAATACTGCTCCAAATTTTCACTAGATTTTTGTTATTTTCCGGGATGAGGATTTTCTTACACTTGGCATTGTCTCAAGTTAGGGTGAAGGGAGGACCTCAGAGATGATACAAAACAGATTGCTTACCGTCTGGACGAAACCCAGAGGACAAAGCGACTGCTCCAGGGTTACCCAGCTCCTCCGTTCGGCACCGAGACTGTGGTCAGAATCCCAGCACTCAGCTCCGGGGGGCTTCCCTCACAGGCCTAGAAGCTTTCCCCAGACTCCCTCGGGAGGAGGACCGGGTCCTAGTTGCTTCTGAACTTTGGGCAACCAGGGCCTGGGCCTCAAGCTGTAGCTCGAAACTAGTGAACAGGAAAATAGCCCCAGCCTATAGGTCCTCTCAACCTTTTCACCTCACGTAGTTTTCAAAGCTGCCCCCGCCCCTCAACTAGGCTGCCCGCACCTGCCCAGCCCACCCATCAACCCAGCCCCCGTGAGACAACAATCTTCCAGCCTCTTGTCCTTTCTCCTGGCACTCCAGCCTCCTAGTGGTCCACAGTGGGCGGGGGGGGGGGGGGGGGGGGGCTGCTTCTTCCCCCGGAACGTAGTTCGGCCTGAGGGGCTTCTGGGTTGGCCCCCTCCTAGCCAGGGGGTGCCGCTGTGGTGGCTCCCACCCCTTGCTCACATCCAAGCCCCTGGACCAAAGGAATCCAGAAAAACCTTCCTCCCGGAAGCAGAAGGAACTTGGAGCCAAGTGAGCCCCTTTCCTGCTACATACAGGGCGGGTAGCGTACTGTTCCAGGTTTGGTGCAAAATGGAAATGCGGAGCCCTAACTCACGAACTGTGCAGAATTCCAAGACTGCAACAACAGAGCACCGCCCCAGGCGCGGGGCTGCAGAGTCCGCGCGGTGAAGCCCACCCTGCTTGGCTGGGCCCCAGGGACTGGGGACAATACTTACTTAAGGTCCGGGAAGGCGCCCGGGAGGCCTGGTTCCACAAATAAATGCTATGGCCATCCTTATAAACATATCTCTGCCTCCTCTCGGTCACTGGGATGGTTGGGGAGGTCAGCATCTCATCCTTCACGGTTTCTCCTCTACCGCGATACCACCCCCCTCCCCACCTCACTCTCAGTATTTTTCTACTTAAATGAAACAGGAGTGGCGCGTGTTCCACAGCGCTGCGGAACTGCGAAGTTTAATTTGGACCGAGACGGGCAAGGAGCGCAGTGGACCCCGTGAACCCTGAGGAACTCATGCTCGCCCCTCCCGGGTCCCCCCTCTGTGAGCCCCCGGGGAGCAGTGCCCGGCGCACCCCAGGGCCCGTCTTCCCCGGCGATAGCGCGGCCTTTCGCGGTGCAGCTGCGCCTCCCCGTGCCCCCCGCCGGGTGCTGCACCGGATCCCCGCGCCCCCTCCCGCGCCAGCTTCCAGAAAGCTCCGGGTCTATTCCCCAGCATTCTCTGGGCGTGAGTCACGCAGGTTTGCAGCCAGCCCTAAAGGGGGTGTATACGAGGCAGAGCGCTATAAATACGGGCGCCGCACGCTCACCGCGCCGCGTCGCCAGGAGGAGCCCACGGGCACCACTGACCGGTGAGAGGTCCCCACCTTTCCCACCCCAGCGCGGATCCTCGCCAGGACCGATGGGCGGGCGGGTGGCAGGCAGGCGAGAGAGGATGATCGCCAGTAGTCGTAGGGCTGTCGGAGGCACGCTAGGATGGAGGGGTGTTGGGGGGAGCCTGGGAAGGCAGGTAACCCGGGCAGCCGAGCAGAGGGCCAGATCGCTGGGGGCAGTGCTCGGGCTGGGACTCGGTTCATCAGCCGCAACCACAATTCCGCGGGTAAATGGGACAGGTGTAAGGATCCTCTCTTTTTTGCAAAGACTGGGGAAACCGAGACGTGGAAAACTGACGTCTATTGCCAGAGGCCCAGGCTGGTGAGTGGCAGAGTCCGCCAGCCCGTTCTGCAGCATCTTCCGGTTAGGGTACCATCTCCCCAGCCGGGCCTGAGGCATCTCGTCTGCCTCAGAATTTTCTAGTTCTCTAGATAGTGTGTTTACAGATGTTGCAGGCACTCAGTCCTGCTCTTTCTGCTTCCTGCTGCACTGGGACACATCACCCTTCCCCAGGATGGTGGGAAGTCACACCCCCACCCCCACCAGGCGTCAGACGTCTGCTTCACCCGTCTCAGTTCACAGATGATAATCTGAGGCCTGGAGAGGGTTAGGACGTCTCCAAATATAAACAGCAAGTAGGTGTCAGGAATGAGATTAGCACCAGAGCCTCTGAACCTTCCAGAATTTCTGGACCTAGTAAAAAAAAAGAAGTTGATTATTATTTTTTTTTAATATTTTATTTATTTATTTTTAGAGAGAGGGGAAGGGAAGGAGAAAGAGTGGGAGAGAAACATCAATGTGTGGTTGCCTCTCTTGAGTCCCCTGCTGGGAACTGGCCTGCAACCCAGGCATGTGCCCTGACTGGGAATCGAACCGCGATACTCTGGTTCGCAGGCCCGTGCTCAATCCACTGAGCTACGCCAGCCAGGGCAAGAAGTTGATTATTATTATTAAAAGAGAAAGGAATCTTAAAATGATGCTCATGACAATGTTCATTATAATAGTGGGAACTCAGGATTTAAATGTCTAGCCTGGTGGGATAGCAAAATAATGTATACCAGAAAATGGACCATATTATTATAAATTTGCTTTTAAAGCAAATATAGTGAGTATAAGGAATCTGATTGTATATAAATGCATAGAAAATAGAAGAAAATATACCCCAGTGGTAATATTTGCCTCTGGATGGTATGAGTTACAGGTGAATTGTTTTCTTCATGGTTTAGTTTTCTACATCTGGGAGGAAGCGGGGTGGGAGCTTAAAACCCTGCAGGTTATAAGCTGTGTGGCAGCTTGTTTAGGTTCTCGTGACCTCCCCAGGCTCCCTCTGCACCGTTGAAGCCCTCCTGGGGGAACAGGCTGCCCGGCGGTAGTGGGAAGGGGAGGGCCTTGGCGTGGTTCCTCTAATCAGGGCAGTTGCCAGCCAGGCACCCAGGCCAGCAGCTGAGACGGGAGGCAAATCAGTGCAAAGTGACAGCGGGTGGCAGGGCAGCTGCTGCTCCAGTGCCACCCCTGGACTAGCGGTGTCAATATCACCTGCAAGCTTGTTAGGAAAGCAGGTTCTGAATCGGAATCAGCATTTTAACGAAACCCATTCCCTCCCCCACCCCACCCCCTCCACCCAGTGATTCATAGGTACTTCACAGTAGTGGGTCAGTTCTCTAAGACAAAGCCACGTGGTCAGGGAGGGACCACAGGTGGCCTCTGTATGCCCGCTTCCGTTCCTCTGCTCCTCCCCACACCTGCCACCTGCTTCCACTTCCCGGAAGGATACTGCCAATGCCCACACTCAGTCCTACATCAGACTGTGAAGTAATCAGAAGTCATTATGACCCTGTGTTTACAGAACACTCTCGCGTCTCCGAGGACTGTGTCACATCTATTTTACAGACAAAGAAACTGGGGCTCTGAGCCTTCAGTGACTTGGTGTCAAGGAAAGAACCCTGGATGAGGGGATTAGGAGAGCTGGGCTCTCACCCTGGAGTTGCCACGAGCCTTGGGGTGCCCCACCCCCTGTCTGGGTTCTGCACCCCCTCTGGAGTGGAGGAACTGAGCAGAAGACTGATCTTGCTTCTGGCTCTGAGGTCAATGGCTCCCTATGAACCCCAGGCTCTTGGTGAGAGACCTGGGCTGGCTGCTGGGTTTCCAGGCTCCTCATCTAGTGCTCTGGCCTTCGGCTGCCCTCCCTCCCCTTTCCTCGGGGCCAAATACCCTGTCTTCTGAACATCTCAGAGGTCAATGCTACCAGGGACCTCATCTGGAATGGTATATTTTGCTGGCTTTCTCTCTGGCGTGACAAAGGCTCTGTTCGTGTGTGAGGAGATCCAGGCCTCAGTGAGCAGCCGGGGCAGTGCTTGCTAGACCGGGACCTTCTGATGGGCCTGAAATAGTGCCCTGCTCAGCTGCCCACCCTGTCTTTGGGGAAGGCGATGATCTGCTCTTTCTTCCAGGCTACTAATCTGCTCTGTGCAGTTGGTCCGGGAACCACAACTGGGCTGCCTTACTGATTGTTTTCATGGAGAGGGTTACTTATTAATGTTCTATCAAGCATCCAGATGGGCCTGCTGAGCTGAGAGCAGTTTTCATATGTGCACGACTTCAGGAAGGGGGCACCCCCTCCTTGTTCCATCATGGGAAATGGGTGACTTCAGATACGCAGTTGGGGTGGGGGAGGGGTGGGCTGCAGTGGGAGGGGTTTCTGTTTTATGTAACGACTTTGGCTTCTGGGAAAGGGTCTATTGTGTAAGACCAGGCTGTCCCCAGGCTCAGGGCAGGCAGCCCAGAGTGGTGGCAGGAACACCTTGGCAGGGCCCCCTGCTGTGGATTTGGAGGGAACAGGCCATGTGAAAGGGACCTGGCAGGCCCATGTCCTCCCAGAGGGACCCTAGGGAGGTACCGGAGTCCAAGTGCCCCTTGCTCCCAATGTTAACTGTTTGACTTGGCCCCTCCCTCTCTGCTTCCTGAACACAAACGTCTTTTCCTCTGGCTCTACTCTCTATGTATACCCCTAATCCACGCAGCCTGATGCAAGTCCCACACGAGGGGTGACAAAGGGATTTATTTTCCTGTGCCAGCCCCAAGGGTTGGCTGCCATGCTCAGACCCTCGGAACCAGTTTCAGGTGGTGCTGAGGCCCGCGGGGAGAAGTGCCGTGACTGATCCAGGGGGCAGCTGTGGGCGGGGCCCGTGATGCATGTGGGGCGGGGGTGAGCTCTGGGGTGAGGTCCCCACTTGATGGAGGGGCAGGAGAGGGCCAGGTGAGTAATCCAAGAGAGATGTCCCCAGGGTTTGTCTGATATGAACAGGAGTCATCAGGTGGGCCCCGTTCTAGAGGCAGAACGTGCGTGCGCCTTGCTAAGGCACATGGAGCTGCTATGGGGGTGGCGGGGGAGGAGAGCTGGGACCGGAGCCCAGGGCTCTAAATCCAGAACTCCGGTTTCTCCTGCATTAGGCTGCTGGCCTGTGGCCTTTCCCTGTACCCACTGCCTCCACTTTCTTTTGAAAGTATCTGCTGTCAAGTCTGATATTTTCTCCCAACTTCCACGGGGATAAAAAGGCGGCGATACCAGTGGAGAGGGGGTCGCTAACAGCGAGGCCTCCGTGGGACTCTGGGGCAGCGGCTGCAGGCTGGCTGTCCAGCCGTTACCATGACAGTGTCCTGCTCTCTATAAACAGAAGCGTGCAAGGACTCCAGAATCACAGGGGACAAGATGAAGACGCTGCTGCTGGTGGTGGGGCTGCTGGTGACCTGGGAGCATGAGCAGGTGCTGGGCGACAAGGTGGTCTCGGACCGAGAGCTCCAAGGTAAGTAAGTAGGCGAGGGTGCCCCTGTGCGCACAGTTCCTCCTTGTCGGGGTCTCGAGGACTAGAGGCCACGTGAACCTGCACGTGATGCCCCGTTGGCTCTACCGGGCCGCTCTCTGAGCCTCTCCTCCCCGGCCACCCGGCCGAGGCTCTTTGTGGCCAGCCTGGCTTCCAGGCGTTTCCGGGGGCATCAGAGCATTTGCTGGCTGCCGTGTCTCACCCTGGCTCCCCTTTCCAGTGTCCGCAGCCCGATGCCCACACCTCCCCCACGAGGGCGCGTGAAGCCCAGACCACTGGCGCTCCCCTGCTGAGTTCCATAGCACGTAGAATGTGCGTCTCCACCTTCCCACCCGAAAACCACGCTCTGCCTCCTCTGCTCGTGGGCACAGGAGAAATGCCGTTCAAGTACGAGGCTCGTCATCCTTCAGAGCCCAGCCGGTGGTCCCCTCCTCTGCCGGGCCTTGCCGAAAACCCTTCGTCCCTACGAGCCACTCTCACCCTATGAGCTGACCCCTCCTCTGGGTGGGAGTTAAAAACCCGACTTTGAGATCAGACCTGGGTATGAGTCTGGCCCTGCCACTCCCCTGCTGTGTAACCCTGGGCAAGTGTCTTGACCTCTCTGTGCTCCTTCATTCTTATTTGTGCAGTGGGGATGATGGTGGTGCCGGGAATGCTAAGGAAAGTGCACGTGAGGTGTCTGGCTCTGTGCTGGGCCCTGAGAAGCAGTGGCTGCATTTGTCACGTGGCGTTGTGTCCTGGTCACAGCGGTCTTGGGGAACCGTGCTATTGCTTCTCCGTTGTGTCTCCGTCACTGAATTCCAGAAAGACTCGTATCCAAAAACAATAACACTTCCTATTTTGATGCTTAAGTGCTGACCCTTCCAGGATGATTTTCCCCTCAAAAATGTTCTGCTGGGGCTGGCAGGGGTGGCATCCAGCCGGTAGGGGTGTAGGGCCACCGTCCCTCCTCTGGGGTGTGCCTGCCCCGATGGTTTGTGCTTCTGAGCAGCTGGTGCAGTCGATTCTTGGACTCTGGGCCCACAATGAACCCTGTGATGGGAGCCTGTGTCAGCGCATGGCTGGGGCCTGGCGGCTGCCTGCCAGGGGGTTCCCAGCCTCCACGGCCCCCGGAGCCCTGCCTTTCCGGCCGTCCCAGCTGGCTCCAGGGCCAGGTTGCCAGCGCCATCTCTTCCTCTCACCGTATTCTACTCCCCTGCCCTTCTCCTGCAGAAATGTCCACTGAGGGGACTAAGTACATTAACAAGGAAATTAAAAATGCCTTCAAGGGAGTGAAGCAGATAAAGAACCTCATAGAACATACAAACGATGAGCGCAAATCACTGCTCATCAGCTTAGAGGAAGCCAAGAAGAAGAAAGAGGTAAGGAGAGCCAGGCGGCCCTGTGCCTGCTTTGACCCTCCTGCTGCAGGGTGGGGAGGGAGCGGTCCTGACTCCTCCTGCGGTGTCCTGCTGGGTTGCCACATTGACCCTCTGTCTTTCCAGGGCTGTGTCACCTCACCCTGGGACTAGTTAAGAAATAGGGGGAGTTTATTTGCTTTTGAAAGCTTCAAAGGGTGAGATCTTAGATTTGATTCTATTATAAGCCTGGCCCAGGGCCTGCTACCCAGGTTCGCTTCAATAGATTTTTTCAAACAGTGACCATGGGGAAGTTCCAACGTAGACTTTATCCAGGGTCTGCCACTGGGTAGGAGGGGCATGGCGCCCCACTTCCAGAAAGCTCATCTAGTCGGGGTGATGCCTTTGGGATTAGGGTGAGCACCCATGGCCCCAGGGCTTTCTAGAGGTCTGGACAACTTCACACAGAGACACCTAAGTCCAAGAGAGAGCACAGTGGCTCTAGGCTGTGCTTAATGGTTCAAGAAAATGAAAACACTATAATTCCATAAACAATTTATTTTAAATTGTTTAAATTCGACCATGATGCATAGTCGAAGCATGCTAAAGGCCCTGAGAAGTTCTGCAGTAAAGAAAGCCATGTCCCCTCATTTAACCCAGTGTTTTCCGAATCAAAATGACCAGGAAACCATTTTTATCTTTCCTTATAGCTAATAGCACAGTTTCATGGAAGCCACTTAAGACAGTGCTGGCCTGGGTGCAGCTGTAACTGTCTTCGAGACTTTCTGCCCACCCTTGGCCTCGGAGTCAGTTCTCCCCACTCCGTGAGGGCCCTCAGATGGCTCCCATCCCCACGTGGGTGTGGTTAAGCTTGGAGTTTGATATTTGACAACCCAGATTTTACAACAAAGCTCATCAAGGTTGGAAAGACTCCATTTACTTCTTAGCTGGGGCGTACGTGAACCTGAGAGGAGGGGGGTGAGCAGCTGACGCTGGCCCGTGGGCTCCGTACGTGGGCGGTCCTTCCCTGGCACAGAGCAGGGTGCAGAGAGCAAGCAGGACGCAGACCGCCTGACCTGAACTCCGCCTGGTCAGATTTCGTAGTGTCTTCATGGTCTTCTTCATACTTCTTTGAAGAGTAACATACCCGTTCATCAAGATTTTCATATACAAAAGTAGAGGTGCAACAGTTTTTCCGTCATCCTTACAACTTAAGGACAATTCACTGTTAACATGAGATCTATTTCTTACGACTTTTTTCCCTCCGTTTTTTAAAAACATATTTTGATATATTTATTTACCTTTTACTATTCTTTTTAAATAATTTTTAAAGGTTTTATTTATTTATCTTTAGAGGGGAAGGGAAGGAGAGAGGGAGAAAACATCAATGTATGGTTGCCTCTCCTGGGTCCCCTGCTGGGAACTGGCCTGCAACCCAGGCATGTGCCCTGACTGGGAATTGAACTGCAATCCTCTAGTTCACAGGCCCACGCTCAATCCACTGAGCTACACCAGCCAGGGCTCCCTCTGTTTTTTTGACAGATCATGAATTTTTAACATAAAAATGCTTACTATGATAGTGAAACTTATTAAAAAAATCCTTTGTAATTCTTTGTGTGTACCACAAGCTGCCTGCCTGGCCCCGAGTTTGCAGTATCTGCCCTACACGCGTAGGGCAACAAATAACTTCAGGCGTAAAGCTTTGTCCTTTGTTGCGGGAGTTCCTTGGCATAGATTCTTATAGAATTATTGGTTCAGACGACATGGGCATGTCAGAAAGCTTGGGTGGTTGTGGCGACTTTGATGTTGAAAGCTTGCCTGTTCCTGGTATGTACCAGGGACCATGTTCCAATAGAAACATAAGATTCAGGGAGGTACAGAAGCTTTGGGAGACAACCTCTAAATGCCAGGAGTTGAGCACAGGAAGTGAGGTCTAAATGAGAGGTAACTCCTGGGGCGGTGTGAGAGAAGGGGATGTCCATGTGGGTTTGGGGGCCGGGGACTAAGGAACAGTTGGGTCTTGAAGATGAAAGGATGTTTAGAGCTAAGTGGGCAGGGAATTCCACATGGGCAGCAGAGGGAACAAATGAGCCAGAGTGAGGGTGGAAATTAGCACACTGTGTGGCCAGATGTGGGAAGGTCTGCCCTGGGCAGCGGGGGGGCCCCGCACCGTGCGTGCTTGGGGAGGGTAGAGCCTGTGACTTCTCTGGAGCCAACCCGGCCTCGTGTCCTGCTGTAGGATGCCCTGACCAACACGAAGGATACTGAAATGAAGCTGAAGGCGTCCCAGGAAGTGTGCAATGACACCATGATGGCCCTCTGGGAGGAGTGCAAGCCCTGCCTGAAACAGACCTGCATGAAGTTCTACGCGCGTGTCTGCAGAAGTGGCTCGGGGATGGTTGGCCACCAGGTGAGAAGCGCAAACGCTGCTTGAGGGCAGCCTGGGCTCTGAGTGGGGGTGAGGAGACCCGGATGAAACGTGCTTATGCTATTCTGTACCCAGTTCCAACGTGTGGGAGTCCTTGGACACCAGCTGGGTGTCCCACACTTCAACTCAATTCCGACACTACCTATCTGGAGACAGCATCAGACCCTAGAGGCAAAGGGCCCAGTTCCACGAGACTGCCCCACAGCCCCCTCCAACGCTCCTCACAAGCCCAGGTTGTCATCTGTGTTCTGACTGTTAGGCTATAGACCGGCAGTTCCAGAACCCCCTCCTCAATTGATTTGCTAAAGCAGCTCACAAAACTTAGAGAAACACTTTGCTTGTGTATATTGTAAAAGGAACAGCCAGATGGAAGACATGCGTGGGGCAAAGTACAGCAAAGGGCAGGCAGCTCCCACGCTCTCTCCAGGTGCACCTCTCTCCCCAAGCCCCCCCATGCTCACCACCCCACAAACTCTCCAAACCCTGTCCTTTTGGGTTTTTATGGAGGCTTCATTAACATAAGCATGATCGATGAAATCACTGGCCATTAGAGATGGATTCGACCTCCAGCTCCTCTCCCGTCCCGAGAAATCAGGGTGTGGGACTAAAAGTTCCAACCCTCTAATCATGGTTGGTTTCCCTAGCAACCAGACTCCATCCTTCAGTGTTTTTCAGAAGTCACCTCATTAACATTGTAAAAGACACCTTTATTGTTCTCATCACAGGAAATTCACAGGATTTTAGGAGCTCTTTATTAGGAAGGGTCAAAGACCAAATACATATTTCCTATGAGTATCATAAATCACAATATTGCAGCTTCATTTTGCAGATGCAGTTGATTAGTTCTGGCTGCATTTGGGTCCAGAGTGACAGTATCAACTGGTAATGTCTGCTGTGAGTGCAGAAACAAGGTCATGAAAAATACCTGTGCTGGGTATTTGCCACCTCTTAGAAGACATATCCAGCAGTTACTTGCTGGATTATGTAAACTGTTTTGTGCTATGGTGGAAGGAACTGAGAATTTTTAGTACATTAGTATGGATCCCATCCTTCCCCATGGGCCTCTAAAATTGGGGCTCATAAATTTTACTGCTCACTGAAGACATATCACTTGGGCCTTGGCCAAGCAGGAGTGGGGACCACCGGAGGCCAAAGAAGACAGCAGACTGGTCTCAAGGGATGGGCCTCGTGACGCATGGTCTCGCAGGTCTTCCTAAACTGTTCTCTGTTGGGGTGGGTAGAATGGCAGGGCACGGGCCTGACAGTTCAGAAACCAGGGAGCCGGCCCAGTGGGGCCTTTGGTCATGTGCTCACATGCCGTGTGACTCTAAGGGGACCAAAGTGCAGTGAGGAGCCAGGCCCACCCCATCTCAACAGGGGGCAGGTGCAGGAGGTCGGGGCTCGAGTGGGCTCCCGTTAACTGTCCCCCACTCTGCCTGTCACAGCTGGAGGAGTTCCTGAACCAGAGCTCCCCTTTCTACTTCTGGATGAATGGTGACCGCATCGACTCCCTGCTGGAGAATGACCGGCAGCAGACCCACGTCTTGGACGCCATGGAGGACAGGTTCAGCCGGGCGAGCCGAATCATGGATGAGCTTTTCCACAACAGATTCTTCACCCGGGATCCCCTGGATTCCTACCACTCTTCGCCCTTCGGCTCATCCCCGAGGAGGCCTCTCTACCTCAACCCCAAGTCCCGCTTTGCCCGAAACATAATGCGTTTCCCCATGTTCGGGCCCCCGAGCTTCCACGACATGTTCCAGCCCTTCTTCGACATGATACACCAGGCTCAGGAGGCCATGGATGTCCACATCCACCGACCTCTCTTCCAGTTCCCGATGGAGGAGCTCACAGCAGGTGAGGAAGATGCCTCATCTCCTAAGAAGGGACGGAACTAACAATTTGTCGACAGACCCATTAGATGCTAAGACCTGTTGTGGGACTCGGCGTGTGCCCTCTTGACTTCCCCCTAGCAACCCTGTGAGGGTGGCATCAGCCTCATTTAGGGAGGGGAAAACAGCGACAGAGAGTTTTAAAGGAGCACATCCAAGGTTTTGTAGCTGGTAGTTGGAACCAGTCAAATCTAGCCTCAAAGGACCTGGAGTTTCCCATGGCCCCTTGCAGCAGCTGGTGGGCATCACGTTGGCCCCTCCCTCTAGAGAACCAGACCCCTTTCACTCGGAACTCAGCTGGTTTTCTGTGTATTGTATATGTATATTGGCGATAAATTATATACCCTCAAGAAAGCTGTTCATGGTTGTAACCTTAGGGCCTGGTAAGGATTGGACATACAATGAATATTTCTTGAATGAATGAAGTCTAACATGAACATGAACAGCCAATACCTTCAGAAATGATTTCCTTCACAGAACCAGTAGACATTGATTGGCCAACACTGCCTCCTAAATGCTGTAGTTTGGCTGGCACCGGGGTTTGGCCTGAGATGGATTGGAAACAGGGGAGGGTGTCGAACTGAACCAGCATCCACTGCACACCCATAATGGGAGAGCCCTGGGTTACAAAGCGGCTATAAGGAGGACCCCATTCCTGCCTTCAAGGGGCTTGTTGACTGGCTTGGGGGAGAGAAGTGAGTCAGGTAAAATGCAGAGCAAAGTGGGTTGTGATGCCAAAGACAGGTACAAATAGTTAGGGGCAGAGGCAGGACAGGGCTCATGGTGCGGCGGGGGGGGGGGGGGGGGGGGGGGCAGCACACCCAGCTGCGGGAACCCCCGGAACCACCTCATAGCGCCTCTGCAAGGAGCCCTGATCAGAGGCCTAGGTCTGTAGGCCAGTCCAACCAGCTCTGCCATCTCCGAGGCCAGACGGTAGTGCAGAAGGGGTCAGGGAGATCGGGGAGACCAGCCCATCACTGTATCTCTTTGGATGGTCCCTCCGCATGACCGCCTCTTCCCCCGTGTCTCCAGAAGGCAATGATAACCGCACGGTGTGCAAGGAGATCCGTCACAACTCCACGGGATGCCTGCGGATGAAGGACCAGTGTGCCAAGTGCCAGGAGATCTTGTCAGTGGGTGAGTCTGGGAGCTGTGGGTTCCTGGTGCCTCTGCAGGGCTGCCTTAATGGGTGAGGCAGATGGGAGTTCAAATTCCAGCTTGGCTGCTCTCCATCTGTGGCACCAGAGCAGGTCCTTTGCCTCCTTCTGCCAGAACTCCTTATCTGCAGACAAGGATTTGGAGGCGGAGTTGTCCCTGAAGTCAGGAAATAGTACATAAGGTACCTGCCGAGTCCTCCAGCTCATGGTCAGCAGAAAGTCATGGGAGAGGCTGCTATTCTTTTTTAAATAGGCTGTCTTCTGCCCTGTAGGATGTCTGGCTGCATTCCTGGCCTCTGCCACTAGGTACCAGTGGCTGCCCCCTCTCAGGTGTGACAACCCAAAATGTGTGTACACCCGGCTATACATCCCCTGAGGGCACCACCCCCCTCCCCCAGAGACTCCCCCAGACTGAGTCTCTGTTCTCAATGACTGCTCATTTTTAAGTTATTTCCTGGTTAAAAAAAAATTAAGGTTGTTCATTATCTATTTTTTTCCAACCTGGCTTCTTGCTAGTAATTCTATTTCTTGTCCCTCCTAATATTTACTTTAATACAAGTGATTGCATTTAATACTGGGTGCAAATGATTACATTTAATAGAAATAATTATCATTCTTCGGTGTGAAAAGATCTGCTTTCCCCTGAGTTGTTTGGGCTCGACCTGCTCTCGTTGGAAGATTTTTGGAAAATCTAGGGGGAGAAAAAACAGTAGTTTTTAGAGATAGTGTGTCGTTCCCAGCTCTTATCAGTCTGACAGCCCGCAGTGGGCATGCAGGGACCACAAGGAATGAACCCTATCTTCCTGCTCTCCTGGCGAGCTTGGTGACCAGCAGTGGTGGGTCAGTGGGACACTAAGACCCCCAGACACCAAGCTGCTGTGCTTTGTGACCTGAGGGTCCTGGCCAGCTCTTGTGCAGAGTGAACCCGGGGACCAGAATTTCCAAGTCTGCAGCTATGCCCAAAAGACAAGCTTGGAGAGTTTTCCAGACCCACAGATGGTGGGTAGGAATAGTCTAAATTTAGGAGTGAAAGCCCTGGATTCAATCCCAGGCCCATGAACTGTTTATGACTTCAGGCTAGTGATTTACTTTTGTGGGCCTCAGTTTTGTCATTGGTGAAAAAAAAATCATTATTGGTGGATCTTAGAACACATCTGATTATTACAGATAATGGGTATGCAAAGCACTTATGTGGTACCTGGTCCATTGCAGGTGCCACATGCACAGTAGCTCGGGGTCACTTTCCCCTCTTCAGAAATGACTCACGGGGGGGGGGCTGGGGCAGCCGGAGCGGCTGCAGGTCTGAGCACACAGAGAGCTGAGACCCACGCTGCCCCGAGTGTGGTCAGTGGCACACACCACCATTCTCCCGTGAGGTCACGAAGCACACCGTTTAGTTCAGCTGACACTGTTTTCCAGAATGAAAGCCACACGTTGAATGGCATTCACGGCCTGATGACAAATATTTGGGGCCCAGCACTGGCCTTGCTTTAGGTCCTGGCTGTGGGAATGATTTGCATCTGGGTCTCTTTTCTTTTTGCCGTGCCTGGGCAGACTGCTCATCCAGTGACCCTGCCCAGAGCCTGCTGCGGCAGGAGCTGAACAGGTCCCTGCAGCTGGCGGAGATGTTCACCAAGAAGTACGACGAGCTGCTGCAGTCCTACCAGCAGACTATGCTCAACACGTCTGCGCTGCTGAAGCAGCTCAACGAGCAGTTCAACTGGGTCTCCCAGCTGGCTAACCTCACTCAAAGTGAAGACGACTTCTCTCTCCAGGTCACCACGGTGAGTCTCGTCCTAAAGCCAGGGCCCCGAGGTGTGATCTGGGGGTGAAATAGGATGAAGATATAAAGGGGGCACTTGTGCTTTTCGTGGCACATTTGTCCTATGGCAGGAAACATAAGACTTCCACATGCACTGTTGCATGGAAGCCTCACCACCCTGAGGTGCAACGTCATGACCCCAGGGTGTGGGTGAAGACAGTGTGAGAGGTTCAACACTGGCTCAAGGTGGAACGACTAGGCACCGGAACCCGTTTGCCTGCCTCTTTCCGCAAGCTGCCTTGCTGCCCCGTAACGTGTGGGATAGCTCAGAATTAGTGCATCCTTCTCTACCAGTGATAAAAAAGCATCTCTCTTTGTATTTTCTTTCCCTGATTCCTTTGTATTGCAGCCAGGCCAGTGGCTGCCCAAAGAAAACATGGTGGCTTGGAACCCATTTTCTGCTCCACGGGGCTCCCCCCGGGGCTCGTCATTTGCAGTGACATTTACACCCACCAAGTGTCTCTGAATTCGGTGTTTCTTTTCAGAAAGAAAAGACATGTTTTGTCCACATGTCGAGATCAGTAAAAAGCCAAGGGGTCAACGGTCCAGGTTGAAGCCTGACTTTTGTTGCCAAATGAGTCCAGTGGCTTAACCCTTCTCTTACCTTTGCTCCTTCCAGGTGGCTTCCCACAGCTCTGACTCCAGCGTTCCCTCTGGCTTCACAAAGGTGGTTCTGAAGCTCTTTGATTCCGACCCCATCGTGGTGACTGTCCCAGAAGAAGTCTCCAGGAATAATCCTAAATTTATGGAGACCGTGGCAGAGAAAGCTCTGCAGGAATATCGCCAAAAGTACCAGTGAGTGTGTGGGCCTTACCTGCCTGCGGTCCTCCCAGGCCCAGCGGGTCCCCAGCAGCCGAAAAAGGGCCGAGGAGCCAGCCTGGGAGTGACTGCCAGACACAAATCCCGGAAACCACTGGGGCTTTTCATTTCCCTTTGGAGGATGTATTTTCTTGGTTGATAAGAATTTGAGTGTTGGTTGCGGCCTCTCAGTGAATACGGAGCCCTCACCTTCTCCCCACCTCCACTTTTTTTTTCAGGGAGTTCAGGGAAGAGTGAACCTTGCTTTTCCAAGAATGGGGGTGTCTGAATCCAGTGCCTCCCGCCGCCCCAGCAAGAGCTCTGCATGTCCCCCAGTGACCAGGCCCTGGCCTCGAGGACCCCTGGACCCCACCGGCCTCTCCTCCCTCTGGACCCTGCGCTCTAACGTCCACTCTTGCTGCTCACGGACGGACCTCCCCCACACGCCACTAACTCAATAAAGCTGCCTGTACGCTCTGCAGTGTCCCTACTTCTGCAGTCGTCCCCCCTCCTGTGCACCCTCATTTCATTACAGAGAATCGCGGGGAGGAAGAAGCAGCGGCTAAAACGGTGTGGGGTGTCATGGTGTTGAGAAGAAAAGGAGTGTGACGATTAGGCTGGTCCAGTTCAAGGGTTTCCTGTTTCCAGAAAGAGATGCGTCCCAACAGCCCACTACATTTCTGAAAAGGGGGCCTTCCCCACGCCACTGTAGAACTGCCGTTGTGTTCTCCTGGGGGTGAGGGGAACCTCCGGGAGGAGTACACTGAAAATTACTGTGGAGAAGGGGTGACAGTAACACATACTGAGCACTTTAATGCATAATCGATATTTTCCTTGCGGACACTGCAGTCCCCAAAAGGAGAAATGAGGCAGTTTGCATTGTAGTTCCAAGAGAATGGAACCCCTGTGGCATCTTTTTGACTGGGGTGCTGTTTGCCCACTGTCAGTTCCGGCAACCTTTATATCTTTACCTCAACCACGGGAATTTCTGCTCTGCCAGGGTTTTTCCCCAAATGACAAATTCACCACTTTTTGAAATATAGCTTAGCTGCAGTACCCCTATGTAGCCAGCAGGTGGCCCTGGTGAACCACGGAGTTTATCTCAAAATCTAATCAGCAAGCTTTTCCATTTACGAATTTGTGATCTTTGACTTCATGGAGGGTTCAGGCTCCTAACTCTCCCATCATTCAAGGGTCAACTGCATTCTCTACTTATAGAGTCCTGTTTATCAAATACACTTCAAGCGGAAAACCATCTAGCTGCATCTCAATTTTCTCAGTTTTGTTGCCAAGGCCACCTGTAAGCTGATAGCTATAACAAATTTAGGTTGCCATCCTTTGTCTCTCTCTGTTAAGTTATAGGCACCTCTACCACACAGGCACCAAACTCTAAACCTTAGGACTTTGCCATATGCATGTTTAAAAGCGCTAGTATTTTAGTATTTCTATCAAGGAAATTCAGAGTAAAGTTAATACGATTTACTTAATGATACACATAAATTAGGATTGTGGGTTCAGAAGGCATTTGTTAAAAAGACCATGATTATAAGTTATATATTGCATTAATGTCACATGTCATGTTTCAAAATCCTTTTCTGTTTTTCACTACATTGCTAGGTTCTGCCAATCATTATACATCCACTTGTTCCTTCTTTTTTCTGAACCTCCTTTAAGCCAATGCCAAGGTTACCCAGGACCTTCTCCCTACCCTTTCCCTCCTTTGTTTGCGGCCTGGTTTGAAGGTCTTCGGTTTGAGGGTCTTTGGATGCTCCTCCAGCCCTGACAGAAACTCCAGCCTGAGGCACTAGAGAAACTGAGGCAGGACCATGAGGTCACCAGGACAAGGGGACAAGTGGTGGGTGCTTCTGGCGGATTGCATCCAAGGTGGGACCATGAATAAGGAGCCCTTGGCTTCCGGCTTCTGGATGCTCATGGCAGAGTGGGAACAGGCCTCGATGTTCGGGGAGGAGAGGCCGTGGCACCTGCCCCGCTGTGAACCCCAGTGTTGACACTTGAGTGGCGTCTGCCAGGAGATCGTGGTCAGATACCATCTCTGCCGATTGGAAGGTGACGTGGCACCGGGGTTGGGTAGTGCGCAGTTTGCGTCACTGCCACCAGCAGCCTTGACCAGCCGGAGCGCTCTGACACCTGGCCTGATTGCTCCCTGTCATCCCAGTAGGTCCCCACAGCTGTTCTCCAGGCAGGGGACACTTACCGCGTGTTACAAAGGCTCCAGGAGTAGCCTTCACTGGAGTGGGAAGACCTGGATGGGAAAACACCTAAGCCTAGTTCCTGTGAAAGAAACCTCTGGTTGCGGGTCCTACCCGGTGAAACGGCAGGGAATGGGGGAGGGAGGGCAAAGGAAGCTGCGCATGCGTGCCGAGCAGCACTCCCCACCGCGGGTGAGGCTGGGGACGGTCCGAGGGCCGTTTGTCTCAGACTGCACTCTCCCCAAGAGCCTCCCATTAGGCTTGTGACATTCTGCCCACTGGAATTAGACTGCAGGCAGGGAGGCAAACTGACAGGATGGAGGGAAAACGCTCACAGCGTCCTGGGGATGCACAGTGCCGCGAGGGGAGCACGGTCGATGAGTGTGACTCTCTCGGCCAGGCGGGGCTTGAAGCGCGGGGGCGGGGCCTTTGGGAAGCACGCGATTGTCTCACTTCTGTGTGGCACACCTGAAACTCAGGCAAAATAAGAGTGAGTGTAAACTGTACCTGAAAAATAAAATTTTAAAAATAAATAAAAAGGAGGGGAGAGGGCTGCTGAGGGCGAAACAATCAAGTGAACCTGCAGACAAATGTAGTGTTTGCCACATCCGGAGCTGTTCCCTCCAAAACGCACCTTCGTCTGGGAGCTCTAATTTGGGCAAATATATTGTAAAAACACTTGGAGGCCGACACTAGTTTTCAGAAGACAGTCACATATACACTTCGAAAGAGGACTTTCCAAGCAAAACTTCAAAAACGTGAAATTGCCAAGGTGCAAACACCTTTTTATCCTTAAGTATTTCTGTTTAAATAATAAATGTGTCAGGTAAAAATGTTTCCGCGAATGGGCTTAATGTGTAAAATGTTTAAAAGCTATGCATTTTATCAGCCCTGGGTGGTCTAGCTCAGTGAGTTGAGCACAGAACTGTGAAGCAAAGGGTCACTGGTTTGATTCCCAGTCAGGGCACATACATGCCTGGGTTGCTGGCCAGGTCCCCAGTAGTGGACACATGACAGGCAACCACACACTGATGTTTTTAAGCTCAGTAGATTGAGCGCAGGTCTGTGAACCAGAGAAAAAAGCTATGCATTTTATCATTTGAGGTTGTAAGTATAATAAGTTGAAATGGTCTGCATTCAAAAACAATAAAATGCTCACCGTATAACCTTGCCTTTGTTCCACCCAGAGGGGTCTGAAGCTGGGGCCGCTGGCAGGGACCCACGGAGCACACAGGTGCCGCTCTCTGAGTTCGCCTGAGTGAAGTTCAAGGCCTATCCAGGGAAACCGTCATCCTGTCTGGAGACGACCACCTGGCACAGCAATCTGACAGGCCAAGCAGGACGCCCCCCACCTCAGACAACCTTGACCAGAGAGGGGAGGGCGGGAGGGCCCTCTAGGAGAGGCCCTGGCACTCCCTGGTCCGGACCTGGCCCAGGCCCCTTTGCTGCTCTGCTCTGGGGGCCTCAGAACAGGAGGGGGAGTGAGAGGATAGAATTTATGCCACTCACCCCAACCCTTCCTCCTCGGATGCGGGAGGGGAAGAGCTTTGGATATGAGGTGGACGGATAGACAGCCCAAAGGAAGCTGATTGTTTGCTAACCACTTTCAGGAATAAAACCGTTCGCTGAAGGTGTTATCAAGTGATGGAAATGGTGGTCAGACAACTAAAATGGTTTCAAGTTTGTGCCTCTAAGAGAGTTGAAATTGCACAACAAACAGATTCCAGGAACCGTTATTCACAACTGAGCGTGAAGTTTAGACGTGGAATGTAGCAGGAGCTGGAGCTGAGAGTGAGGCTATAGAAACAGCAGGGGCCGTTCGGGCAGGAAGCCAGTAAGGGGCGAAGTTGGGCTCAACCCAGGTCTGATTCTGGGCTCAGGGGGCCCTCAATCCCACCTCATTATCTTATCGAGACCCAGCATTTGCCTGGTATATTTTCGCTGTAACAGAATAGCTTGGCGAACCCAGGGTGTATTAAGTATTTCATTCTAAAGATAACTTGAATAGGACTTGGGCCTGCAGGGCTTATTAACAGCACTGATGATTCCCAGATCGGTCCATATGTTAACACTAAATGCCACGTGGAACAAATACACAAGGTTAATAATGGATTTTCTGTTCGCCTCTGAGATACTCTCAGCCCCCCAGCCCTAGTCACCCTCCCAGCCGATGCCGCTGCGCACTGCGGGCTGGGCAACAGTGGAGCTCGCCCAGCCCTCCTGCCTGTCCCCACCACTGATGGCTCACTCGTGGTCAACAGTTGCCTTCAGCATGTTCACATTCATGTTCACGTTCACGTATACAAGACCATAGAGATGCACTGGCGGCACTGAAGGAAGATACTCGTCCTCCAAATTCATACCTGTGTCCTATCACCTGCCTACAGTAAACGAGGCATTAGTCTTTTTAAAAAATGCCCTGCATTTATCCAGAGCACAGCAAACCTTATCTCACTCTGTGTGTAAGGGCACTCTGTTGTGGACGTCGAACAATGAAAACAAACGAGCATTTTGATCATTCTATTTGGGAATTTTCTGGAAATGTCTGGGACTTTCTTGACCCCTGAGAAGCCCCACCACACCGGGGAAAAGGTCAGGGTAAACCGAGATCAGCCAAGGTCATGTATTTGGTGCAATTTTGTGCAGACACTGCCTTGTATGTTTCCCTTCCGCACACGGAAGGGCCCTTTGGGATTGGGGTCCTTGCAGCTATTTTCCCAATTTGCACTCCTCCATCCTTCAAACAGCTGCTGCCGTTGGCTTTACTGCAGAAACTGGAGACCTACAGGTAAGATCTTCCTCGCAGGGGACCCAGACTCATCCCTGCTAAATTAGAAACCTACTGAGGCGTAGAGGTCTCTTTCCTCCCAGCAGCTCCCTGTAGCGCCCCCCTCGGGATTTGCCGCCTTCCCAGTGGCGTCCTGCTGACTTGGCAGTTTGGGACGAGCAGCTACGCTCACAAAGGGGGCCGCTGTTTCTGCCTGTGTACTTCAGCTGCGTCGGCCCAGAAGCCACCAGGGGGCGCCTCGAGCCCCTCTTCTGGAGCTGACGGTGGGTGGATGCTGCCTCCCTTCATCTATCCCCTGGGTCCAGCCGGTGCAGGTGGTCAGGCTGACTTGGACAATTTGGGATTGGTTATACATTCCCTCCATTGGAATTAGCCCGTGAAGTGAGAGGACATCTGCCTCGAGTCGAACGTTCCGTATCTTTGCATTTGGGAGGCCTCCCTTTCCACTACGCCCCTGTGGAGTGCAGGGTCCCGGGGAGGCCATCCCGAGTGGAAAAGCTGCCCACGATTCACCTTCTCGTCTTGCTGAACATTCCACGTCTCCTTTTGGTTTGTGATTTCACACCCCAAATTCAACTTTGAGAGACGCTCATAGCACTGCAGCCCCGATGCTCTGCTCTGATTAGTGTCCCGCTGGACGCCGTTCCTCCTTCTCCCACCTCATTTCTTCTTAGAGGCTGCTGCCCACTGTCCGGTCTGAGAGCTGCAGGCCCCAAGCCTGCCACCACGACTCTTCAAGTCTCCTGAGGTGAGGAGACTGTTTGCCACGGGGGCGGGGGGGGGGCACAGCTGGGCCATGCTCCCTGAGGCTTGGACAATAGGGTGGTGCTGATGCCTGCGGGGGTGGGGTGGGGGATGGAACCCGGGACGGAAGTAGCAAGAAGGCAGCGAGGAAGGAGAGAGAAAGAGATCCCAATTTGTGGGCTGAGTACACACCACTCAGTATCCAAAAGACTCTGCAATTAGAACTTTTTGGAAGTGGTGACCTTCATGCACCCGAGGACCCCAAATCAAAGGAAGGGTAAATTACATTCATTAAAACCCTGAACCGGAAAGGGCTCCTAGGTTCCGTGGTGCTTAGAAAGTCTATTTCCAGAACATCCTTCTGCCTCAGCATCCCGGGAGTTGAAGCTGTACTGAACATCAAGGCTCCAGACTTAAGTCATGGCGGCACGCCCCTTAATGCCGGTCCTTCTCTCCCGGGGGGTGGATGTGAGGTGCCGGGACCACTGAACAAGCACGGCACTCCTTCCTAGAGCTGACATGTCATTTAAAGGTTTTGAAAATAAAATACTACCCAGAAGGCTAAAGCTCCATTACATAATGGAATAGAACCCAAAATTCATAGATTTTGAAAGTTAAATTCAAACTACTGAAAATACAGGACTGCGAGACATTCTCTGGTTGAAAATTTGGAGGCACTTCTTTTCCCAACTTGCCGTGTGACGCTTGCTGCCCGCCAGGTCCCCAGTGGGGGGCGTGCAAGAGGCAACTGCACATTGACGTTGCTCTCTCTCTTTCTCCCTCCCTTCCCCTCTAAAAGTAAATAAGTAAAATCTTTTTTTAAAAAGTATTTCCAAAGTCTCCATTCCCATTACCATCAGGCAGTGTGACAGTGGAGAGGCCTCTGGCCCCAATTTTACTCCTAATTAGTAAGTTCCATCACCTCTGAGAGACCCTCAGTTTCTTCTCTGTTAAACGGATTCCCTGACCCCTGCCTTATCCTGATCACAAGGTTTCTGGAAGAATCAAATGAAGGGAAAGAAAGAATTTCTCCAGCAGCTCAGAGGGAATTATAACCCCCGAGGTGTTGGAACATGAATGCCGAGGGAAGCCCATGGATATAGGCGCCGTGGTGGAGTCCCTCCTGCCCCTGACCGGCTCAGCACCTTTTCCCAACCTCCCAGCCTCGGGCGGGCCGAGGAACAGCGAGAGCGCGCCCCCTGGTGGAACTCCTCACTCACAGCCGCTCCCTGGCGGACACCCACCCGGAGTTTCTGTCTGGCGTGTCCTACCTTGGCCCAGTGGGGCGGGCCCACGACCTACTTCATGACGTCCTCACAGACCAGCTGGTAGTCCAGCCGCCGCACGGCCTTGCCTAAGGACCTGGGGGTGGGACAGAAGGACATGAGGCCTCTTCCATGCTCAAACCGCCCCACAGTTACCTGGCACCTTCCCTGAGCTACACCTGGAACTTGGAGGGGGACATGGAGGTTAAGACCTGGCTTTGGCCGCAGGACACCGATGGCGATCACTCAGCAACTTGAGGCCTTTTGTCACCACTCAGCCCAGAAGGATTTGGAAAGGGTTTGCATCCTCCCTGCTTTCTTTCATTGGCATCGGAAAGGTGTCTTGAGTTTAAGTAATTTCAAAGAACTGTGTGCACAGATACACACAGTGTACATTATATAATTATATATTACATATTTATACTTATAACTTCTGGATTTTTTTCTGGATTCTTGGACTTCCCTCCAGAACAGTGCATTCCTGAAGGGTCTCTTGGAAATCTTGTAAGTTTGGGGTTTTTTATACGCTGAAGAAATACGCCATATAAGATTCAGGCTGGGTAAGAGGTGTTTTTCTTTTGCAACATGTATTATTATATTATACATTGTATTTTACATACATATATACATACATATATATCACTGTAGGTATCGTTCCGACAAAGCCTAGCAATTTCAGCCCCACCTCATCCGATGTACGAAAGTATGGCGGCATCACCTCATCGGTCAGTCCTCACTGCCCAACCCACCAGCCAAGTCAGACTTATTAACAGAAAAAGCATGAGTCAGAGTTTTTAAAAATTAAAAAAATACATGTTAAGATGCACTCCTGTCACTTCCCTTGCTGCTCTCACTTCCATCCTGACAGCGCCGTGAACTGTGGCCCCATACACTGCCACGGGTCTGCCAGGCATATCAGGACTGCTGTATGCTATCCATCCATCCACCACTTATCCATCCACCACTTATCCATCCATCATCTGTCCATCCATCCATCCATCATCCATCCATCCACCCATCCATCCATCATCCATCCATTCATCATCCATCCATCTATCCATTACCCATCCAGCATCCATCCATCCACCCATCCATCCATCATCCATCCATCCACCCATCCATCATCTATTATCCATCCATCCATCTACTCATCCATCATCCATCTATCTATCCTTTTACCATCCATCCATCAATCCATCCACCCATCCATAATTTATCCATCCATCCACCATCCATCCATCCATCCATCCATCATTTATCTATTCATTCACCCACCCATCCATCCACCCATCCATTCATCCTCCATCCATCCACTCATCCATCCATCCAGCTGACATGGGTTTTTATTTATTATAAAAACACTGCTATCAATCAGAAGCCAGCCTTTCTGCTTCTTCCCACCAACTCCTAGAACCAAGTCCTTAGGCACACAGCAAGCCCAACGATGCCCCACCCACCTAGCCATAAGAAACCACTGTAAAGGAAACCCTGGATGTACCCCGTGGCTCAGTGCAGTTGAGGGTCAGTGCCTTCCAAGGAGCAGTCAGCTTGGCCAGCACCATACCTCCTCTACCCAACCTCTACCCAACCTCCTTTCTTGCCCTCCTCTACCCACTCCTCAACAATTCCTCTGAGCTTCACTGACCTGCTCAGAAAGGGTTCTGGCCACAGCCTTCCTAGGGCCCAGGAGGGGCTAGCAAGGTCAGCACACTCCCCCACTCAGGGGGCTGGCAGTGGAGCATGGCCCACGGGCCAGAGTTCTCCATTCATTTTCTGAGGCTGGGTGGCAGCAAGCAAGGGATCAGCGCCCCTCTTGGGGTGGCAGGGAAGGAGGTCCCCTGAGAGGGGAACTGGGGCACACCCTGCAGAGTGACGGTGAGGACCACTCCCAGGCAGCCCAGGTGCACCCACAGGGCCTGGGATGCCTCTGCATCGCTGGACCCAGAGTGCTCCAGAACGGTCCCGTAGGCCATCGGCAGGGTCAGCACTACCACCCAGCGGTGGGGCGGGGCCATGCTTCAGAATCCTGGTGGGCATTTCCCCATACACTTTGGGCGAAGCCCTCACTTTCCTATTAGTCCTTGCGAGTGAGTCCAGGTATCACCTGTTCCTGCAAGATCACTGTCATCTGACGAAAGGGGACTTTGCGGTCTGGGTCTGCAGTCACAGCCTGAGGGGAGTCTCAGTCTTGGGAGAGGGAGGAAGGAAAAATGGGCAAAGGGAGACTATGTCTCAGTGGCATTGGCTCTCAGCAGGGAGGGGACCCATCCATCACGAGGTTCCACAGGACTCTGTGGCTTGTCCCTCCTTGCTGCCTTGGTCATTCTGTGGGCACTGCAGCTGGGAGGCAGCAAGCCTCTCTCTTGCCTGGAGGAGGCCTAAGGTAAGATTGGGCCACAAAGAGCGTGAGGTCCTGGGTCGGGTGCCTTGAAGGTGCGTATGCCTCTAGGGTGGGGCCGGCCCTGCCGTCCCACCAGGGTCCCCTGCAGCGTCTTCTGCCCATTGCTCTCCCTGGGCACCGTCTCTGCCAAGCTGGGTCCACCCTCTCACTGGGGACCCACCCTCCTCGGGAACCAGACTCTCCTACTTAGCTGCACCCTCCCCCCCCCAACCTCTGGGTTTCTACAAAGACTAGGACACTCATTGGAAACAGACACTGAGCTCCAGAATCCCCCCCCCCCCTTTGCCCTCATTTCCCAAGGGCTCCTCTTTCACCGCCAGTTTGAGTGCTTCTCCACACGCCACTGCCTGCTAATGTGGGTGGAAATTGCTTCTGACGTGTGTAGTTGGTGGCCAGGTGCTCCGGGTGAGAGAACAGATAATGCTGAACTAATTCTGATTCACGGTGACCGCGACCAGAGAGGAGAAACTGGCAGAAACGGGACACGATGGCAGTGAGGGCATCAGGATGACTTTTATAGAACCAGATTTTGTGTGAGACCTGGAGCGGTGAACGACAGCTGGCCAGTGGGAAACCGGCGGAGTCCAGCAATGAATACAGGCTGGGCCCCAATTTACTAGCTGTGTGACCTTGGCCATGTTACTTAACCTCTCTGTTTCCTGACCTGTAAAATGAGGATAACTATCTCACACTTTGGGAAGCATCCAGCCAAGTGCCTGGTGTACAGTGGGGTCAGAGATAGCAGCCCCCACGACTTGCTCCCTGCCGTGTGGCTGGTCGTCTATAATAAAACGGTGGGAGCTCCCGCCTGTGTCCCAACGCCGGGCCTGCTCAGCCAGGCGTTCTAAGGGAAGGGGCCGGTAGCTCTCATGTGTGTTTTGGTCTGTGGCCACCCAGAATCTTCTGCATACTCTGCTGATCCTTTTGAGAAACTGAGGCAACCGTGTGCTCTAAGTCCTAGATGGTTGACTAGGAGCAGGGCCAAACCTTGGGGGAGGTTGTGCTGTCTGTCACTCACAGTCACCACTGGACCCTCCTGGGCAGTGAGGCCAGCTCTGAGGGATGACCTGTCCGTCTGGGGCTCAGCATCAGGCCCCACAAACATCTATCTGCTTCGGCTGCACCAGCTCTTACCTATGGGGGGCGCCGAGTAACACGGGGCCCTCAGCCCAGCTCCCCACCCCACGCCCATGCACACTCCCAGTGCCTGTTGGAGGCAGGTTTTAAACCCAGGTCTGAGTCCAGAATCTGTGCTTGTAACCAGTTCCCCAAACTGGACTCCTGAGAAGTTTAAAACATGCTTTTCTCTGAAGGTCAGGTGTGGGTCCCAAGCCCTTAGGTGCTGGGCTCCACCCCAAGTGGCTCTGTCTTTTGTCCTGGCCCTTCCCTGACTTGCTACCCTGGAAAGGCCCCTTGTTCCTCCTGGCTCCAGGTTTCAGTGGGAATAGAACCACTCGCCCTCCTTGTCCTCTTCCACAGGGCGGCCCGGAGGCTCCCGAGGGGCAGGTGCACCACCATGCACGAGGGCTCTCGTCACTGTGTCTGTCAGGGACAGACGAAGTTTGGAGAAGGAGACGCTGCTCCTGGAAGGCACCTGCCCAGTCTCCCCCAGAGGGAGAGACCTGGGGTGGCTCTGAGGCCCAGACGGAGCTGAGCAGACACAGGCAAGGACCATGAGATTTCCCAGGAATCAGCAGAGTGTGGAGAAGCAAGTAGACACACCCGAGTGGCCAGGATGCCATGCTTGGCCCCCGTGCTGTGTGTCCCGCACCCAATGACACCAGCTGCAGTCACGTCTGACACGGCTCCCAGGCCGGGCTCAGCCAGAAGGAGGAGAGAAACCCATGGGACCGGTGAGGCTTCTCGGGGACAATGAACCCTCGGGAGGTGGGGTGAGGGTCCTCAGAGCAGAATAGTACATTTACTCCTGCCTGGGTTCCCATCCCCCACTTCCCATGACTGAGCTTGTCTGGTGGCTAGTCCTTCTCCTTCCTCTCTGAGCCTCAGTTTCCTCGCCTCAGTGGCCTGTCCGAAGAGCTGGTAGGGGCTCGGCTCAGCTCTGAGGGGAGGCCTGCCTGGCTCTGGGGTGTCCACAGCCTAGAACCTTCTCCTCCTCTGTCCTCCATCTCTCGACAGTTTGTTCCCCAGCAAACCAAGGCCCGGATGCTGCTGCTAAGACTTCTCCAGCCCAGCCCCTCGAGGCCTGGGAAGTCCGGGGGTCCTGGTTCACACGGCGCACAGAGAGGCCCCGAGCCTTAGGGCAGGAGGAGGAGACCCAGTGAGCCCCTCCCCCCCGCAGAAACCTTCAGGGCCCCCGGCACTCCAGAACAGCTCAGCAACGCAGGCCCTGGAGTGGACAGAAAACTCTGTGTGCAAGAGGGCCGGATTCCCGAAGCAGGGCAGTTCCCAGCACCCGCCAGAGGTGTGTGCTCTGGGGGCAGGAAGCAAAAAGATGTGCCCAGATTCTGGGGCCACAGAAAAAGAGCAAGTCAGGAGGATAAGAGGCCTGCTTCTCGGGAGCTCTCTCCGAGGCACCCAGTGCCAGCTTAAAGGGGAAGGACGCCAATACTTACTCAGGGTCCACTGGGTGCCAAGTCGATTGGAGCCTTATTGGGTACACCGGAGTTTCGCACTCCAGAAATGGGCGTGGCATGGGGGCAGGGACTTGACAGGACCCTGACCCTCAGCACAGAGGAGGTCCCCAAAGACACAGGCTGCAGGACCGAGCGGCTCTGCTCCGCTCTCGGTGCACGTGGACGATGAGTAGAAGTCCAGCCTCCGTCTCCTGCAGAGGCGAGGAGGTTTCCCCAGGGGTTGTCCCGGCAGGACGGGAAGAGGGCGAAAGGGACCAGAGCCTTTTCCAGCCCTCTCTGCCCCGGCCCCTCCCTCACCCTGCGTCTGCTGTGGTCTCTGTCCCCGTTTACTGGATTACTTGGTGACCTTGCCACTTCTGAAAAGAGCAGAACGTTAGAAGAGGTTCACAGACACCCTTCCCCAGGGAAAGGCAGAAAGGCACAAGCCCAGAGACGTTCAGCACGGAATTACACTTAACAGTGAAAAACCAAGAACAGTTGAAATGCCACAAAGTGGGTGGTTGGTCCAATTGCAATCCATCTACTGTTCTCTGTGAATTTATTAAGATGAAAGAACGGCCCTGGCTGGTGTGGCTCAGTGGACTGAGCGCTGGCCTGCCAATCAAAGGATCACCAGTTCAATTCCCAGTCAGGGCACATGCCTGGGTTTCGGGCCAGGTCCCCAGTAGGGGGCTCTCGAGAGGCAGCCACACATCGATGTTTTTCTCCCTCTCTTTCTCCTTCCCTTCCCCTCTCTCTAAAAACAAATAAATAAAATCTTTTCTTAATGAAATAATAGTACAGAAGCATGCTTGCAATGCCATTCAAAGAAATAAACCGGATCAAGGGAGCCATCAGGGAGAAGGGCCTAGGAAGGAAGGGACAGGCTTTGGCTCACAAGAAAGTGGAGGTAAGAAGCGAAGGGGAAATGTCACTCCTGGCGGCCATGGAGAAAGGCATTGACCAAGCCAGGAAAATGAGCGAAACTAACATTTATGGGGTCTTTGCTATGTGGGCCACCTCTCAGGTACCCAGTCCTCTGAGCTCCCCTATTTTACAGCCGCATTTTCTAGATGAGAACTCTGAGGCCCAGGAAGGCTCGGGAGCTTAACCAAAGCGAGTGTGAGAAGCAGGCGGGACTCGTGCCCAGCGTGTCTGCTGCCGTCCTGCCTCCCCGGGCTCACCACCCACGGAGCCCTCCCGCGCTTTCCAGCTGCGTCGCTTCAGGAAGCCCCTTTGCCTCAGACCCTATTCTTCACCATCCCTGGGGTACAGCCCTTCCTCCCAGGGCTGGTGTGACAATGAAATGTGACTGTGCACCAAGCACTCGACACGCAGCCACCCAGCCACTCCAAAAGTCCCCACAGCATCCTTGGTGCCGTAGACCTGGGCAGCGCCTGGGACACACGGGACGTGACAGCCCGACTCCCTCTGAGTGGCAGATGAGCCCGTGCAGGCAGCGACTTGAGGGGGCCTGGTGCCCAGAGAGGACAGAGGCATCGTGAACAGGACACAAAGATGCTTCTGGGCACAGAAGCTAATACTTGTCATCAATAGAACAGGCCTCGCCCTGTTGTCATTGGTCACAGACTTTGAACCACTGTCTGCTTACGGGCCGCTGCCCGCCCCACACCCCTTCCCTCCCCTGGACTTCTCTCTTTGTTCTGGTTCATGCCTAGTCATCTTTCGGCGCTCATCCGGAGGCCCCTCCGGCAGGGAGCCTGCCCCCAGCCCCTCCCTTCACAGACTCCCCGTCTGCCAACACCAAACCTGAGGCCGCTGGGAGCCCCACAGCGCCTTGAACCTACTCTGACACTGAACCTATTTTTTCGCATTATGTGTGTCCCTTCGGCTGTCCTGCTGCCCCTGCGGGGAGAGCTCCTTGGAGTAGGGTCTGGGCCTTTTATTCATCTCTGCCTCTCCTGGGCCTGAGCAAGGCCCGCCCAGGGTCAGCGCTCCATAAATGTTTGGGCTGCCGTGTCCCTTGGAGAGGCAGGCGCAGGATGGTCTCCACAGTGATGGGTACAGCAGCACCCGGGGCCTGGGTGGGAAAAGCTGGCGCAAATGGACTCCTCACACTTGAAGACCGACCACAGACTTACATGGAGGCAATTTCCAGCTGCAAAAATGCTGCTGCACTCATTTCCAAAACACCTTTGTCACCTGTTTCCGATGGTCGAAATCCCATAGTTAGATGTTCGCTCCTTTGGCTGTGTGTGACTACTGTTTCCATGGACATCCCCCGATGCTAAACCTGGGCGATCACTGCCACCTCGTTTGGACAGAGAGACAAGGGAAGCCACGGGTAGATGTGCCAGGAAGCCTGTGGCTCGACCAGCAGGCTCTGCTGCTCCTCTCAGTGCTGGCTTTGCATATCCTTCTGGTGAGCTCTGTATGGTTGTTGGAAGTTTAAGGAAGACTTAATCCATGGTTTTCCCACCCCCGTACAAGGCTGTTATTTAATCCTCAGCGCATCTCTGGCCTGCTTCTATCTGTGCTCACATAGAAGTCCCTGAACCTGTGGGAATGGGGAGGCAGGCACCTACGGGGAGACAGGGGTCCCCAGGGCACACTCTGGGAGGTGCTCTCCTCTGGCTCCTGCCAGATTCTGAGTGTCTGGCCGAGGCCAGGGCAGGGGGAGCCCGGCAGCTCTGGCCCACCCAGGAATGGAGGGGTTGGCTCTTACTGGGACAAGACCAGGCCACGCTTATCCAGCTGTGGGCGCAGGTCAGCCAGGAGGACGCCGGCCTCCACAGCCACCTGCTTCTTCTCCATGTGCACCTGCAAGCAACCAGCACAGGCTTCGGTGAGGGGGAGCCACCCAGCCCTCACCCTGTGGCCAGGTTCCCCGTGCGTTTGAGCCTGTCTGTCCCCGTCTGCGGTCAGCTCAAGCCACCTCCCACTGCCAGCAGCCAAAGGGGCTACGGGCAGAGCTGGGGCTTCGGGAATACTCTGTGCAACCCTCTCTTTTCACAGTGGAAAGAGAGAAGGAGCAGGGAAGAGAAGGGGTTTGCTCGTGGTCACTGGCAGAGCTGGACTAGTGTTCAGGGCTCCTAACTGCCACCTCTGCACTTAGCCCACCGACCCAGACTACAAAGGCAGGGCTCCTCGTGTAGCTGCGTGGAGTCACCCACTAGGGAGGGTCTGCTCCTGGGTGGGGCTTGGCTTTGCTAGACGGACTTTAAATTCTCACTCACTCTCACCTGGGGGGACTTAGGCCAAGACGAGAGCCGGACAGGGAGGGCGAGGAGAAGCAAGGTCTATTCAGCGCTTTGCCACGGGCCAGAAGGCTGCTATGTCCCCAGGTTCTCATGGCAGCCCCGGGAGGGAGGAAGAGTCTCTCTTCACTCCGTAGGGAGAAGACTGAAGCTCGGGGACTTGAAGCCACTTGCTCAAGGTCACATCAACATCAGCGGGGAACTGAGGTGAGGATCCACACCTGTGACTTCGGAGAACAAGCTCGTCCCATGGACCCTGAGGACAGAGCTTGGCAGAATCAATTGCCGGAGCCCATCCTCACTAATTAGCAATCAGAGTTAATTACTGCCGTGACTGATCTCTTGACCGGAATGTTTGGTACGAGGTGGAAACTGTCAGCCTGAGCAAATACGGCAACAGCAGGGAGGAACTCTGAACCTCTGGAGCAGGGCTGGGTGGAGAGGAGGCAGGATATCTGGCAGAAAGAACTGCTCAGGGCAGCTGGACCGGTTAGGGGAGAACAGGAGTCTGGGCGCACTCCGTCCGCTCCCACACCCCCAGGCAGGCCCCTGGCGGCCCCCGAGGGCTGGCTGAATTGCGAGGACAGTATCCCAGTCCAAATTTGTCACCCCAAAATATGCCTTTTGGGATAGTGATTATTTTAAGCTATTTTATTAAGTTGTTTTTTTAAAGATTTTTAAAATTTATTTCTCTTTAGAGGGGAAGGGAAGGAGAGAGGGAGAGAAACATCAATGTATGGTTGCCTCTCATGCGTCCCCCTGCTGGGAACTGGCCTGCAACCCAGGCATGTGCCCTGACTGGGAACCAAACTGTGGTTGTTTGGTTCGCAGACTCGAGCTCAATCCAATGAGCTACACCAGCCAGGGCTATTAAGTTGTTTTTAAGAGAAGGAAGACTCAGGAAAAAGCCTTGACCTTCCCCCTAACTGTCGAAAAGAATTTAGACAGAGAACCTGCCCCAGGAAGGGAGCTCCCATCACAGGGAACTAGGTGCCACCCACGGGTGGGACCAGCAAGGCCGTTCCAGTCAAAGTCCTCTTTGGTTCCTGCTGTTAAAGGTGGAGCAGCAAACCTTTGTTTACCTAACATCTGCTGTTCTGTCTCCACAGGAATTGCCTTCCTGTCTGTTCAAGTCCAAGCCCAACACATGGACAAAGCCAAAGGGGGGTGGGATCGAGGGTGGAAGGTGGGGATGGCTGGGGTGCGGGGAGAGGTGGGGGGAAAATGGAGACTGACGACATATTTCAGGTTGCAAGATCTCAAATGCTCCCAAGAATAACAGCTTTGCCGTTTCTTTTATGCATTAAAATTTGGGAGGGAATGTAAGGAGGCAGGGGGCAGCAAGATGGGAATTGAATTACAGGATAGTTACCAAGACACTGCTCTCCTGAGGGTGTGATCTCAAAGCGGCGTGGACCCGGATGGGCAGAGACAATGGACGGGGCTCGCTTAGGGCAAAGACGAGCCTTTCACTAAAGAAGGCGTGTGTCTGCCTGCTGCAACCTGCACAGTGAGGGCTTTGCGACCAGATGGCCCTGGGAGGCTACTTTCCACAGAATCCTTCTTTTGCCCACAAACCTTCAGGAAGATGGGGCACTTTGGCCTACGTCTCTAGGTCGGTAGCAGGGTTGTCCAACCATTTGGCGTCCCTGGGCCACACTGGAAGAAGAGTTGTCTTGGGCCACACATTAAATACATTGCGACATGTAATCACAAAAAAATCTCATAATGTTCTAAGTACATTTGCAACTTTCTTTTGGGATGCATTCACAGCCATCCTGAGCGGCATGCGGCCCGTGGGCCGTGGGCTGGACGCCCCTGATGGCTGGAGAAGACGTGTGAGCACAGGGACACAACTGGAGCTTGGAACGGCAGCAGGCTCTTGCACGGGCACAGAGGTGCACCCCCAACGCAAACGCACTAGCAGTGAGGTGTGGACAGTGGCCACCTGCCGCCCACAGGGAAGCCCAGCGAGTGGACAGGACTGCTCAGAGGCAGCTCGGTCACAGGGAGGGGCGTCCCAGAGACAGGTGAAGGGTCTGTGGAGCTTCTGACCACAGGACAGAGTCAACCTGGGGCCCAGAGCTGTGTTACGGGCTGAACTGGGCCCCCCCAAATTCCTCAGAATGTGACTGCATTTAGCAATAGGGCCTTTAAAGAGGTAATTCAGTTAAAACGAGGGCATTGGGATGGGTCCTGATCCAACAGGACTGGTGTGAAAATGCAGGGTCCGTGTGCCCCAGGGCTGCCACCCTGATGCTCGAGCGAAGAGCACTCAGGGCTCCCACAGAACCTCAGACTTTCTGCCTGGGAGTGGCAGGGCTTGGCGCAGGGGGGCGTTGGGGCCAAGGGATGCAGAAAGTAGCCATCAGGCTGGCTACTGTCCCTTCTCTACACTCACAGGCCCAAAGGCCTAGAATCAGGTCCACGAGCTGTGGCCAACAGGCGGGAGAGTATCAAGTCCAGGGGGATGAGAGAGGCCATGGCAGGGCGGGGCCGGAGAGGGTAGTACAGAGGGACAGCTGGGGCCATCCCGAATACCTCATTTTCTGCTCACCCTCAAGCCCTGTCTCTACAACTAACTCCAGGTAGAGTATGAGCTCCTGACCCCAAAGGCCGTTTTCGATGACAGTCAGACCCAAGTGTTCTCCTTCTGGTGAATGCACTCTGCCCTGGGGCATGCTGGAAGCTGGTTCCTGGGGTATGGGTGGGCCGGGGAAGGGGCCCCCTTCCCTCCCTGCTGAGAGAGAGTTCTTGCCCCACACCAGGTTTGCCTTCTGTACCCTGAACTGTTGCCCTCGGACAGGACGCACCCTCCCCCAACCCTGAGTCAGCTACAACAATTTTACAAATTGCCTTTACTGAAAGTCAATTACAGGAAAAGAAATGTACAAATCAGCAAAAACAATGTGTATCGGTTCATTCAATCTGCGTTGCTCCTCTCCTGTGGCTGAGGTAGATAATTTATTGCTTATTTCTTCTTGTCCAAAGGACTCTGCTGTTCAATAGTTGCTGAGTCTTAACTATTTCCACACAGTTCTTGGCAAGGGAAATCAATGTGACCATTCTGCTGGCCACTGAAGCTTGTCTTTGATCTCTGCCCTTCCTGTACATGTGAATCGTTGAGAACGAGCATTCTCGTGCACAATTTGTACGTGGTAATGCAACTCCTATTTCTTTGAAACACAGGGAATATTTGGGAGAGTGTTTAAGGATTTCTGATCTGCAGATCTTACTTCCTCGTTCTGCTCGGCCAACTCATTCCCTTTAAAATACAACACAGGGCATAAAGGTCATTCAACCCATGACCTGAAGTGAGATGGCATCGCTGGGGTTCAGGACAAGTCACCCAAAGACACGGCTCTGTGGTAGGTGGATTGTTTTGAGCCCTGCGAGCTCGAGAGAAACTCCTGCCACTACCCTCTTAACCACCTAGAAGAACTTGAAGTGGGGGCCTTGCCCAGAATGAGAGATTGTCAGAGACAGTGTCTTATGACCTATCTGTGTAGCAGAGCAAACATCTAACCACAGAACTTCCACTCTTCTCATCGTCCTTCAATGACCTTCTTCCCTCTGGCGCCCCCTGGTGGCCAGTTTCTCGGGATGTCTTACACACCCATGTTCCCTTTCCGTCCTGGACCCTCTCGAGCGTGTGTGGGTTCCCACACACATTATACATGTATTCAACTTGGTTATTTTCTCTTGCTAAACTGTCTCGTGTCCATTTGAGTGTTAGGCCAGCTGCAGGAGCCCCAGTAGAGGAGAGCTCCCTCCTCCCTCGTGGCACCGTCTGAAGTGACCCCACCCCTCACGGCTGTTTCTCCACGGGACCCAGGAAAACTGGTGGAGGCAATGACCACAGGTCCACCCCGGACCCTACGCAAGGGGCAACAAACACCACTGCTGGGGGCTTCCTCTGGGATTTTCTTACTTCGAGTTGCACAAAGAATTGTTTCTGTCTCCCAAATTCTGATACAAGCCAGGTAGTCACACAGGGTCCCCGAGGCCGACACATTCTGCCCCCTGTTCCAGGGCCCACATCCGGGAAAACAGTGACAAACTGCATGGGCAACAGGGGTCTAAACCCAGGACCTTCTGAACATGGAAACGAGTTGTCAACTGATTAAGAAGTGAGTTTACAACATGCAGAACAGGAGAAAATATTTGCAGACCACATAACTTGTGACAGATTAATATCCACACGATATAAAGAAGTCCTATGACTCATTGAAAAAACAAACAACCTGATTTATAAGTGGGCGCGGGACTTGCACAGACCTTTCTCCAAAGAAGATACGCAAATGGCCAATAAGCCCACAAAACGACGCTCAACGTCCCAAAGTGTTGGGGCAATGAGAACCAAAACTACCAGGAGATGCCGCTCGCAGCCATTAGGACGGCCCTCATGGAAACACAGAGACAGAACAGCAGTGTTGGTGAGGATGAAGAGAGAAGGGACCGCGTGCACTGCTGGTGGGAACGTGAGTGGTGCCGCTGCTGTGGAAACAGCAGGTGGTGCCTCAGAAAATCACACACGGGATCGCCACACGATCCAGCAGTTCCATTTCGGGGCACGTTCCCAGAAGAACTAAAACCAGAGACTCAGCATTCAAAGCGGCATCACTCACAGCAGCCGAAAGGCACAAGCAACCCGAGCGTCCACCCACAGACGCCTGCAAAACGGTGGGGCTGTCCACAGGCTGCAATGTCGCTGAGCCTCAACAGGAAGCTCTGACGCTGCTCCAACACCAGGGGCCTCAGGGATCGTATCCTACGTGAAATAAGCCAGTTATGAAAAGACAGCTGCTGTATGATTCCACTCGTGTGATGCCGCAACAGCGGTCAAATTCAGAAGCGAACGTAGCAGGGGACTTGCAGAGGGCTGGTGGGGCGGGAGCAGGTGGAGAGTCACTGTCTGGGGGGATGGGAAGGTCTGGGAGACGGTCATGTGGTTGCACAGCAGTGCGACTAACGCCACTGAGCTGCACACTTGGAAACAGTTCAGATGGGAACATTTACGCCACGTATCTTTTACCACAAGGAAAAGAATGTGTGCTTACCAGAGCATGATCAGCACTCTTTCCAAAGCAGGTGAAGAGCCTCAGAACCCTTACGTGTCAATAGGACAACGTGTATGTAGGCAAACTGACAAAGTGACTCCACCGATCACACGACAGCTGTGAACTGCAGTGGTTGTAAACACTTCGGCCGCGTCATTACAATAACTATCGCAGTGGTGGCCCACGCAGCAGAGACCCACGGGACCCCGGCGAAGAGGAATGAGGAGCCTGGGCGCCATGTTCCTCTGAATCCAGGCAGCGGATATTCCCAAGGTCTGGAGGAGACCCACCAAGGCTTGGAATAGTGACAAAGTCACCCGCTTGGCCATCCATCCCCCACAGCAGGATATCGAAATCAAGAATCAGAACGAACTCAGTTTCCCATTCATTCATTTATGCTTTCACTCTTGGATTCAGTCAGCAGACAGCTAGTGAGCATCTCCCAGATGCCAGGCAGGGCTGGGTTGGTAATACTGTCGTGAAAAATATGAGGCACTTCAACCCGAAAACGTTATATCCTAAGAAAGGGAAATAACTATGCTAACCGACTTGCTTTTAGAAGACATTTCTCCCGGAAACCTTGGGCACTGCTGATTGACAGCCACTAAGTATGGGGACAGAACCTGTGGGCGGTCTCGGCGCCCTCTGGTGTGTGGGTGTACGAGAGAACGTGGGTCTGCCACGCCTCTGTTCAAAAAGGCCATTGCCCTTAGCAGAAGTGGATACATTAGTTATTTACAACTTTTGTGGTCATGAAAAAGAGTAACATTTTATAATTAAATCAATTTAAACACACTCTCAGCAAGCTGCACTGAAAATGGTCCCTGTCCCCTTTGCTGCCACAGTCGCAGCAGCGACACGTGGTCCAGGGCAGGCTGGGAAATGACTCTGGGCATTCCCGGCGTTTTCTTGACTGAGCTGAAGGCCTCTTGCAGTCCAGCACCTTTTATGAGCCTACATCCTGTACGACTAGCGATATTGTTGCAATGCTAAGGACTTGATGCATTTGGCCCTTATTTGCCCAAAGAGTAGGATTTCCGAGGCATTTTTGATGGTTTATGGGAATACCCAGAGAGAATATTTACGCTGAGGCAGGGCAACAGTGTTTGCTTATTTACGCCTCTCCCAGGGAAGGGCGTTCTCAGAGTCCTCTCTCCTCTCCTCCAGCTGCTCCCTTACATACTATTTTTTCAAATGTTAGTCAAATAACACCATCTGGCTTGTGCAGTCATTGCCCAGGTCGCATACCCGCCTTTTAAATGGGCACTTCAATTCTCCGATGCGAGGGAGAGGCGGTGGCGGTGTGGCTGGACACGGGAAGCAGGCCTGGCCCCGAGGACGTCCGGGCTGCACTTCCGCACGCCTCCTCCGTGCCAGGCACGCCTCTGCAGCCCTGCCTGTGGGAACTCATCTAACACTCACGAGCACCTATGAGTTTGGTGCAGTCAGTGTCCCCCTTCCACAGGGGAGGGAACCGAGGCACAGGAAACCCTTTCTCGAGGGCACACAGTGGGAAGTGGCAGACCGGGAGCCCGATCTAGATAATCTGACTCCAGACTTGGAGACTTTCGATAGGAGGGGCTCAGCCTTTGCAACCAGACAGCCTGCGTCTGAATCCAGGCTCTGCCTCTCACTAGCCAAGTGACCTTGGGCAAGTCCCCTGCACCTAATTTCCCCATCTGTTAACGGGAGGGTAGAGATAGTGTAAGTCAGGCTCCAGGCACACAGGGGTACTCAACGACAGCTGCGGACAGCTCTGACCTTCCCTTTGTTTTCATGCGCACGGGACACACATGCCCTGGTGCCTGGTTAATTCATACTCATCATAATTCACAACTCCAGCTTTCCCTGTAGAAAGCACAGCAAGGGAGGGTGCACCCGTTTGGAAGCATCCTGCACTGGGGGGCAGGGAAACGGGACACAGGACCCCACCTGGGGACTTGGTGCAGGAGACGGAAGGTGGGAACGCTGCGGGCAAAGGCACCCATCGGCTGCGCTGGAGGGCAAGGCAAGGAGAATCAGTGCGCTGTGCGCAGAGACTCAAGATCGGCGACACTAGAGGGCAGCCAGGAGTCAGGGGGTGACAGGGGTCCGGCTGGGGGAGGGGCCAGGCAGTGCATGGGCTTTCTGGGGGGCCAGCGGGAGGCCCTGCCACGTTCAGACCAGACCTGGTGCAGAAGGCCAGTCAGGAGGCTGCCACAGGAGCACTCCGCACAGGAGAGGACAAGGACTCGAGGCAGGGCGGGCGGGTGGCAGCAGCGGGCCACACACCCACGGGGCCGGCTTCTGGGAGAGGCTGGAGGGGAGTTGCCAGAACAACCACTGCCTTCCTCCCAAGGACACAAACAGCGGCGTGGCAGTGGTCTTAGTTTTATTGAACAAAGGAGGTCCAATTTCCATGGACATGCTTCAAAATTAACTGCTGATTTTGCTGCCAAACCTACGCATTGGTTAGTCAAAAAGAAATCAGTCCCTGGCCGTCCCACTCAGTCCCCCCACAGGACAGTAATCATCCTGAGACATAAAGTGATGCATTTGTATCCAGAGAATTAACCACACGTGATTCTTCCTGTATCTAAAAACTAGGTCGAATTGGAACCACTTCACTTAAAGAAAATCACCCTTCAGAACAAGACTGCTGGTTTTGAGAGGCGCGGTAGGGTCCCATCTCGGTGCTGAGAGCAGCAGCCCGAAGGGCACACATCACATCCTAAAGCTTCGAGGTCCCTGGTGGGTCCCTGGCATCAGTTTCCAGCCACTGAATGAGGATCCGATTCACCTCCGTGGGCCTGGAAAGGAAACGACGGTTCACCCCCGTCCGCACCCACGCGCCTCGCACTGAGTGAACAGCTAACCCAGGAAAACCTTTACAGAAGGTGAGCAGGAAGTCCCAATGCCCCCCACCCAGAGACCCCCAACTCCTTACTTCTCTATCTGCGTGAAGTGTCCACAGTCCTTAATGTGTCCCCTTTTCAGGCGGGGGATCTGGAAGAAAACACCACCCGGAAAAGTAAATAACAGAATGCAAACGGGCCTGGTTTCAGGTTGGCGCAGAGTGTCACGGAGAGCGCTGCAACGAGGCACCTCCCTCCGGGCAACTCACAGGCCACCCTCCTTCCTGAAAAACTCTGCATTATTTAGGGAAGGAACATTTATTGAGCAACTACTATGGGCTCTGTGCTCTGCATGCGTTGCCTATTTAACTTTACCCACAATCCTGTGGGGTAACTGGGAAGCCCAGAGAGGTTAGGTAAGCTGCCCAAGGCCAGAGCAGCTGAGCTGAGATTTGTATTCAGGGCTGACCTCTGCTCATCACAACCGTCTCCCTCCAGAATCACTCACTCTCCGCCCGTTCACTCCCTGGAAACTGCTCAGTAGTTGTTTGGTTCTTGCCATGCAGTCGCAGCTGCACGCCCTTCTCAGGCTTTCTGGCTGGTGGTCTGCTGGTGGTGGGCTGTTTGCCTTCCTCCCTGGAACCTGAACTCTCACGGTGGGTCACAGCCACAAGCGCCAAGAACTGAGGACCGAGAGGGAGCAGCAGCGCAGCAGCCTGGGACATGCGGGTTTCTTCCCGTACCACCGTGAACCGTGATGGGACGTGGAAAAGGCTGCAGGGGAAAGTGTCATTTTCCTCTCGGAGACAGAGGCTGCCGCTGCCAAGCATGACAAACCTCAGTGAGGTTAGCAGTCAGTTACGAGGGGCTGGGAAGGACCAGTTGAAGAACTTGAATTTGTACAGAAACCCTCCAGGGTCAGGACCAGAGAGACAAGGCCCGTGGGCTCAGAGCTCTGCAGAGCACCTTCACTGGCTGGATCCAGAGCCCGCAAGGGGCTCTGTGGCAGCGTCCCAAAGCACGCCCTCCCCTCTGTGCCTGGTGATGCTAACAAAGCCCAAGCCAAGGGCGGATGAGCTGCTGTCCACAGCTAGCTAGCCCACAGTCGCCCCACCTGCAGGGCTCCCCAATCACTGCCAACCTCTACACTTGGATCAGAGTGAGCTTCAAATCCTGAGTTTGATGCCTGTCACCCAGCTTTAGTGGCTCTCATGGCTGTGGGCCCACACGGCCCAGCCTGGCCAGAGCGCTCGGCAGGACCCTGAGGCCTCATCGCGCTCTGCCGCTCTCCAGGCTTGCGCGCTCCTCGCTTCTCAACACCGTGTCTGCTCCGCGGTCTCGCTCTGCCTGTGTTGAGTAACTGCAGGGCAGGGAGCTCCGAGAGGGCGGGGCCTGTGTCCTACTCCTCTTAACCTTCTCAGTACTAGCACAGTCCCAACACATTAAGTGCACAGTAAAAGCCCAGGAAATGAATAAATGAATGAGTGAGTGAATGAATGGCAGACTCCATCAGTACAAGGAAAAGAAAGCGACAGCCATGATTCTGGCTCCCAAGAGGTGACAAAGATGCTTCTGATGAAGCCCCTTGTCAAGCAAGTGCTTCATCCAAAGATCCCACTCTGTCTTCAGCGCCATCTGCCCTCCAGGGCCCCTGCCGCCTCCCAGAAGCACCGACGGCCCCAGCGCAGCACCACCCTTACCCAGTCCTCCATGTGCTCGGACATCGCAGGAGTGAGCACAAAGTCCTTTTCTGCCGTCACCATCAGGGCTGGAATCAGGATCTGGGGAGGGGTGACAGGAAATAGGTGCAGCCACAGAGGGAAGATGTCCTCTCTTGCACCCTCCACAACTTAGGTCTTCCCTCCCCTGGGGCAAGGAGACGGGCTTCATCTTCATGCTGTGTGGTTTCCTTCACTACCACCTCCCTCGAAGGACCCCCAGCAGTGCCGCTGTAGCCCCGGCTTTGTGTCTGGCATGCACTGTGTGAAGGCAGCATCACCCTTCCTATGGATCCAGGACGGTGAAAGGAGATAGTACGAAATGTGAGCATCGGTCTCTGCCTGCGGGTCCCAGCACAGAGCCCCTGAACCCCTGGACACTCCTAAGTGACAAGAGCGCTGGGAGCATCTCTGGTCTAAGGAGGCAACTTGGTGTTTCCTGGGCAGAGCTGGTCCCCCAAAAAACCAAGCCATGATCAGAAGCGTGAAATTTTCAGCCTACTCCCCACTTCTCTAGAGAGGGGGGACTGGAAATGGGGTTAGCAATTGATTGTGGCCACATGACAAAGTTCCATAAAAATCCTAACACTGTGGGGTTCGGAGAGTGTCCGCATACCTATGTACCCAGGAGGTGACGCACTCGGCTCCACAGGGACAGAAGCTCCTGCTCTTGGGACCTTCCCAGACCTCGCCCTGTGTATTTCTCCATGTGGCTCTTCACTGGTGTCCTTTATCACACTCTATGCAGTCGGTAAGTGTAAGGGTTTCCCTCGGTCCCGTGAGCCACTCTAGCGAAGACTGACCAGACCCAAGGAGGGGGTCCTGGGAGCCTTAGATCTGCCGCTGGAGGAGGGTCGGAAGCACAGGTGACAACTAGACTTGCTACTGGCGTCTGAACTGTGTGGTGTCAGGGGGTGGGCAGCCTCGTAGGACTGCGTCCTTAACGTGTGGGATCTGATGCTGTCTTCAGGTGGATAGCATTAGAGTTGAGTTGAATTGCAGGACACCCACTGACATTGGTGGGGGGAAAGCCCTCACACATTTTGTGACCAGAAGTGTCAGAAGCTAAACGTTTTGGTGAAAGTGAAGGAGGGAAAGACTGGGGTTTTCCAGAAGAACTTAGTGCAGTGACTGGCCTGGGTGAGCGCACACGGGCGTGTTTAAGTAAGGATGCACGGGCTGGCCCGCTCTGTGCCATGGAAATGAACGGGTGGCCCCAGAAAGGAAAAAAGTTACCCTTGCATGGAGATCAACACTCCTTTTCTTTGAATCAAGTAAACGCCTCCAACAGGCAGCCAGGACCTAGTGAGTGACGGGGTCAGCCACGACTGTCGTCAGCCTGACACCAGAGGCAGCGAACACGACCTCCCTTTCATCTCCAAACACCCGGGGCCCGGAGAGGTCTCGGGGCCTCCACCCAGCCTTGCTGTGCTCACTCCACCATTATAATTTTCAAACAGCTCCAATTTGTCCCTGGCGAAGGAATCTGCACTATTTTATTTTTCTTACCTACATGCAGAATGACGTGCTTCTCACTGTGCCCTGTCCTCCACATAATGAAGAACCAGGGCACATTCCAAAGTGCCTTTGCTGCTGAAACTCACCCTGAGGCTGCTGTGGGGTTGTGTAAACTCTAGAATGTTCCAGGTCAAAATGCAACCTGGTGCTGGGAGCATGGGAGGAAGTTAGGGGGCGGGGGAGAACACCTGAAAGAAAACTGCAAAAAGGGAGGGTTCCCTACTTACATGCCCTCAGGGTTCACCTCCCCAAAGACTTCATCATTACGTCCCTCCATGCTCAGAGTCTGCCCATCAAACTGCAGTTTTGTCATTTTTGTCCATTGCAGATTACAGTGATGATAAAGATAATGAGCATTAATTGAGCTACTACTATGTGCTGGGTACCGTTCTAAGCATTTTACGTGCATTCTCCCATGTTATCCTTACACAGCTCTAGGAGGTAGGCACCATTCTTACAGAGTAGTTAAGTGTCTCGGCCAAGGTTGCACAGGGATCAGATCTCAGACTGAATTGCCATCCAGCCCACCCTTAACCACACTGTCTCCAGACCTAACCCATGAGGTCAAGACCCCCTCTGTTTTATGCATCTGGTATCCCCACGGTTCAGCACAGTGCCTAACACATAGAGGGTGTTCACATCTGAGTGGATCCACAAGATAACCAGGGCTCCCGTGTGAGCTGAGGACTGTGAAAAAGCAATTTTCCATAAGCTTTTAATGTAACCTGGGACCCCATTACTCTTATTGCAAACCCAGATATTGGAAACCACCTTCTGCTTGACAGACAAGGAAACTGAGACTCAGACTGACTTGGTCATGTGATAAAGCCAGAGGCTAGGCCCTGTCTGAGAACACCCAATGCTCCTACTGTGAACCAGGAGCTCCACAGCCTTGGCCACTTTTGGGAGTCACCCTGGACCATCTGCTTCCTGGAGCTAGGGCAGCATCAGAAGACCAGGGGGGACCTTGCAGACTGATGCTGCAGTCGCAGGGACAGACCCCTGCTCTGCCTGTAGCACCACCTTCTGTCGTTTCAAGAGAAGCCTCAGCAAGAGGTCCCAGGGGAGACTCTTGATTGGAGGCACTTCAAAAAGCCCAGAGGAAAAGGACAGAAGGGAGGCAGCCAGCAGGCCAGTCTGTCCATGCCCGACTCTGACCCAAGGGCATATCAGCTGGTCAATGGGAAGGGGGCAGGGGAGCCACGCTGCACCAGCACTCACCTTCCTTCCCGTGCCTTTGCAGAACCACTTCCAGTTCCTGTCTATGTTCCGATACCAGTTCAGGGGACCCCTGGGGGGCAGATCAAGGTATAAAAACAGGAAAGCTTTTAGTCAACGACTATGCTATAGACCCCACCAGGAAACAGCTTCGCACGGAGACACTCTTCCCAGGAAGAGCAAAGTCTCTGCAGGGGAAAGAGAGCAGAGGAGCCAGGGCCACGTCTCTGCCCAGCACAACGGAGCTACACGGAGCAAGGCCTGGTGAGCACGCAGAGCTCACGGGGCGGCTGCCACACAGGAGCCGGCCCACAGCTTTCGCTGCATTCGCCCAGGGCTGTGGTGTAACAGGGTGTAGAGCTCGGCTCCGCCCCTCTTCATCTAGAGGCCACTCCCCTTCCCCGGGAAACCCACTGAGAAGGGCCAGCAGGCAGGCAGTGGTGCAGAGGGGTCTCCTCCAGGACAGGCAAGGTTGGCCGTGGGGCTGGATCTAGAACACTCTCCTGGTCCTCAGGCAAGGTCAGGGTTGGTGTCCTCGGGCCCTCAAGGCTTCCCCTCCAGCCCCGGGCCCTGGGAATAGCGTGGACAAGCCATGTGCCCTTTGGGGACTTTTACCTTTTCATCCTAAACAAGGAGGGGGTGAGACCAGATTACCCCTGTGCTCCCTTTCAGAGCAAATCTGTCCCCAAATCCGAGACTCACAAATGGTCTCTGCTTAAAAGAAGAAAGAAGAAGAAGGAGAAAGAGAAGGAGAAGGAGGAGGAGGAGGAGGAGGAGGAGGAGGAGGAGGAGGAGGAGGAGGAAAAGAAAAGAGGAAGAACCTTAGGGAAGAGTTGCAGGTGGTGGTGATATAGGGGAAGCTGGGGGCTAACGGGCGGCAGCCACAGGCATTCATGGCCAAGGCTGCAGTGCCCCGGGCTGACCAGCGGGGCTGACCAGGCAGTGAGTGAGTGACCATGGTTTGGCTCTTTCTGTGTCCTTGGGTTCGAGCGAAGGATGGAGGTGTCAAGAGAGAGGCATAAGGGAGAGAAGAAGGACGGAAATGTGGCGAACTGCAGTGTCCTTGAAGAAACCTTCGAGGATTTGCAATATTTAAATATTTGAGGGGCTAGGTGGGAAAGGGGCTGTTGGAGCCATTCTTTGCGGTTCCACAGCAGGGCCCTGAACTTTGGCATAAAAATGGATCTGAGAAAAAGGAATGAAGTGTCTACAACTGCTGCAACGTGGGTGAACCCTGAGAACATCGGCTAAGCAAGAGAAGCCAGGCACAGAGACCACATATTATATTCCATTTACGTGCAATATCAGTAGAGGTGAATCCATGGAGACAGAAGGCAGGCTGGTGATTGCCGTCTAGGACTGGGGGAGTGGGGCGTTGGGAGGGTAGAGGGGAAGTGGAGGTGGGGTTGACTGCAACGGAAACGGAGTTTCTTTTGGGGGTAATGAAAACACCCTAAAATGGAACATGGGGATAGCTGCACAGCCTCGCGAATAGACTGAAAGACCACTGAGTTTCAGAGCGTGGATTCTATGGTGAGACAAAGCTCACTCAAGCTGCTCTGAGAGAGAAAGAGAGAGAGAGAGAGAGGTCTACAAAACCCTAAAAACACATATAATTTTTGAGTTTCTGTGTTTTCCTAGAGAAAGAGCTGTCATTGGATTCTCACAGGGTCACCACGGAAAACAGGTAAAGACATATGCCCTGAAGGGGCCCCTAAGCATAAAGCAGAATCAGGTGATCTAATCCAAACTAGAGCGGGCGGAGCATCAGAAGGTAGTGAGCCTCCCAGCACTGGAGGCATGTAAGCGGAGGCAGGCCAGGCATTCATGGGGCTGTGGTAAAGGAGAATTGGGCCTTGCCCTGTACCCTGAGAGCATGGCAGCCCCTCTTTGGGGACAATCTCTCTTCTGTGTTTTGGGCACCCTTCTGTTTACCTGAAACCAGACTTCTTGAACTGCTGCACATAGTACTGGATATCCTCCTCAGACATGAGCTTGCTGAGGCTGGGCTCTTTGGGGGCTTTCACTAAGAGTCCTCCTGCAAAAAGACACTTCTTTCCAATCCCATCCCTGAGCCAGGCATCCCAGCAACAAATGCTGGCCTTCTCCATGGAGGCTGAGAAGCTCCTGATTGCCTCTCATGCACCCTGGTGCTCTTCCATTCATTCTCTCTTAACCACAATAAGCCCCGCTCCTCTCAAGCTCCAAGTGTGTACTGTCTCTGTCATTCCAGAATGCAACAATATCACATACACACATGGGCCTCAGCTTCCAGGAAAAGCTCTAGGACTGACCATGCCCCTCCTGTCCTTCAGGAACATACTACCCAGTTCCGGGATGACACCTGCCTTCCTGTCTTCCGGCCCTGCCAGCCCCCCAGCTCCCCTCCCCACCCAGATGAAGCCTTTCCTACACAGCTTAATGAATTACGCCCCTCTTCAGATGTCTCCACTGACAGCCTTGGAATTTTCACGAGACCTTGACTCCAAAGTTCCCTAAAGGAAAGGAACCCGAGGCCCTGCCGTCAGCCCAGGGCTCAGAAGAGTGGTATTTCCCTGTGGGGACCCTATGTTACACAAGTCACAGTTCAGAGCTGGCAGGTGACTGTTGCTGCTCAGAGGAGGCAGATGGAGAAACACTCATCTAACGCTCAGCTGGCCCCTGCCATAACCCTCCTGTCTCCCTTCCCTCCTGAGAACATCTCTTACCTGTTTTACGGATGTTGTAAAAGATGGGAAAAAACTGTAGGGAGAAGAGTGAGAAATTATGTCATGGGTGAAGTAAAGAAAATAGACTGGAACAGGTCATCTGAAAACCCTGTCACACTGAAGACCTATGAGTGCCAGGAGACCATTACAAACATACTAAACTCCCAAGAAAGACAGGCAAGTCCTCTGGGGCCAAAGCAGAAGCAGCCAGCAACCACAGCTCTGGGCTGAGCTGCCCCACCGAGTGCTTGCAAGTCTTGGTGATGTAAGAACTTGGGTTCATCAACCACTGGGAACAAGAGATGAGACCTCAGGTCTGTGGCAGATGGGAAGTTAAAAATGGGACCCTCCCCAGCCTTCCACGGGAAATCCAGTACATCTGTGGTCCTCAGTTGAAGGGTGGGCTAGGAAAAAACCCACCCATCATGACAGAGATGTCAAAGGACTTGGTCCATTTGGTTTGGTACTAAGAGGAAACCAAAAAGTGTTCACCAAGAAATTCATAGTGGTTGCCTTTGCCAGTTTGAATTTACACTATCTCTATGATCCGGAAACCTGCAAGGGGCAAAGTCAATGACAAAAGCAACAATAAAGTGAGGCTGGGCTGGCGGTCCCCCAAGGATGCCTCACAGAAGCAGCAAGCACTAAAGCACAGCGGGGTCGTTTCTTCAACGCCGACGGAGCAGACTGGTGCGGACTCAGTGCTGCGGGGCGGGAGGGGGGGGGGAGCTCACAACAAAAATCACCAAAGTTCCCTGTTCTCCCTGCTCTCCTCTCTCTTGCACATGCAACCCCAGAACTGCAAGGGACAGCAAACACATCAAATACTGAAATAAGACTTTCCAAGAGTCTCAAGTTAATAGACTTTGCAAGAGAGAGAAGTGGGGAGAGAATGGAAACAGACTATGCTTAAAATTATTAAAGACAGAGAAAAGAACCTGAAAAACAAGAACAGAACAAGAGATCCAAATGATTTGAAAAAGAACCAAAAACAACTTTCATAAATTAAAAAAAAATGTTCACTGAAATTAAAAAAAAAAACCTTCAAAGATGGGTTGAACTGCAGATTAGATGCCCCTTAAAGACCAATAATGGGGCGGACCCAAGGCCAGTTTCTCCTGAGCAATAACAGGTGCCTCTAAAAGAAAAAAAAATGTCAACCTAGAGTTCCACACTCAAACCATTCTTCAAGACTGAAAGCAAAATAAAGACATCTTCAGGCCAAAATATTTATGAGTTCACTACTACCAGACTGCCAACAGAACTGCAAAAGAAGGTCCTTCGGGCAGAAAGCGAGTGACCTCAGTGTAAAAGAGTGAGCTGCCCAAGCCATGAGCAGAGAGAGCAGCAGACATGCGGAGGCCAAGCAGGTCTGCTCAACGACAGGCAGTGCAGTGCGGGTGACCTCGAACGCCCGAGACTGGGGGCGGTGGTAACGGAGGTAAACCGTGATGAGCAACTTTGCTTGTTCAAGAAAAGATTTAAGGGTAGAAATTAATTTTGAACTTTGATAAACAGTTCTGCGTGTGAAAATCGCAAGGTAAAAATGGTATAATTTCTCAGGCACCACTATTATAGCAGTTCTTTCATTTCAGTTTCGAAGCTCTCGTGACCTTTCCCCCTTAACGTGAACGGTGGGGTGAGGGTCCCAACCCCGCTGACTGCACGGTCAGGGCAAAGGCCCGCGGCCTGGCTCCCGGAGCTCGAGCCCCTCCCCCATCCTGGCAGGGAGGCCGTGCAGGGAGGCCACCCGGCGACCCTGCACCACTGCGGCTCCGGCTCGGTGCCCCTCACCTCATCGTGGGATCTCAATATGCTTTTGAAAGTGCGATCCAGGTTCTCTTCCAGTTCAGCCTCGGCCACTCCCTGAAACAAGAAAGCGAAGTGACGGACTCCACAGACATCTTGGCGGCTGCACCCCACCCGGATCTGACTGAAGGCAGGACGCCCCCACACTCTGTCCCCTCCGGCCCAAGTTTCATTAGAAGCGCATTCATTGCGCGATTTTCATACTGAAACGCGTTTTTTTAAAAAGGTTCAAATTAAACACAAGATGCTAACGGGGGTCCGCCCCTGGGAGGCGGGTTTATAGGTGTGGCTTTCTTGTCTGTTTTTGAAAATCCCTACAGTGAGAACGTATTGCTTGCAATAATCCCCTTACAGGACTAGGGGCTGGAGGCTGGCCCAGGAGGCTGGGGGCTGGAGGGTGGTGAGAAGAGGATTGCAAGGGCTCTGAGAAGCCACGGGGAAAACCCATATGCTGTTCCAGTCACCCACCTCATTTTGCTGCAATAACTTCAAATCCATCTCCTTCGATTTGGACCTAAATTATTACAGTCCATCAGACGCCCAAGGATTGCCTCCCTGAGGACAGCAGGCTTCTTGGTAAAGAGCTGGGGCACAGATCCTTCGTGCTGGCAAATTCCCAGGTCTTTCTGCCTCACGGAGCCTCCTCACATTTAATTGCCTACATTTAACTACACCTGGTTGTTTGGCCATTTCCTGGGTGTTTCCAGGAAAACAGGCTAAGGGATGCGGACATACAAAACTGAGGTCCTAAGGGTGGGGGTGATGGCTAGATGGGTACCAACGTAAAGTGCCCTAGTTCTGGGGGCTAGGGAAGCGATTCTTGTTGGAAAGGAAGGGTCCAGATTCATCTTCCCAACACCTTTCCTTCTTGCTCAGTCCCCTACCCAGGAGCATTTCCAGACGCAAAGAACAGGCAGGCAGGTGGCATGGGGCTTTAAGATCCATCAGCGGATCTTAATCTATTGGCTAGGGTTCCTGGCTTCATGATTTTTAGGGCAGAAAGAGAAAGTGTTAACGCAATCTGTATTTTCCAGGATTTGAAAGCCCTTGGACCTGAGAGCTGGTACAGAATCGGCGTAAGGAAAGTCAGCTGCCCCTGAGGTGCAATCCACCAGGGCAGCTGCTCAGAAATGACAAGTCCTTCCTGGACAGTCCCCAAGGGGACCAGTGTTACGGGAAGAAACTGATTAAGAGTATGGTGGTGCCTTAGTCCATTCAGGCTGCTGGAACAGAACCGTAGGTAGTGCAGCTTATAAATAGACATGTATTTCTCACAGTCTGCAGGCTGGGACGTCCGAGGTCAAGGCACCAGTGAAAGCCCACTTCCTGGTTCGCAGACGGTATCTTCCTGCTGTGTCCTAACATGGTGGAAGGGGGAAGGGGCTCTCTGGGGTCTCTGTTCTAAGGGCATTAATTCCATTTACGAGTGCTCCGCCCCCAAGACTCGATCATCTCCCAAAGGGCCCACCTCCTATTAACATCACATCAGGGGTTAGCATTTCAACATATGAATTTGCAGGGAGGCGGTGCAGAGGGGTAAACACAAACATTCGGTCTACAGTAATGCGTCAGCCTATATTTCTCCTCCTTTCCAACTGCTTGCCCGAATGCACCCAGGTAACAACTAAACTGGATTGCAGAATGTTTTGCAAAAGGATGCCCTGCTTCCCCACTCTCTTATTTAACATATTGTAACTTCCACCAAGAACATGAATGTCCTTCAGATTGGCCTTCAAGAAGCCTTTGCACCTGTCCCAAACGCTGCCTTCTCCATGAAGTCCTGCCTTCCCCCATCACTATAAAACCACTCTGCTCTTCTTGGATCTCGCGCAGCCTTTCATGTGCTCCCCTCAGAGCACCCGGAGAGCAGGGAGGCATCCACTCGTCTTATTCCCAGGATTAGCTGTGACTGGGCCGGGATAAAGTAGAGGGCTGATGTTATGTCTGTTCCTCTCCCCCTAGTAATGTTGCCAGAGAGGAGGGTCCTATAAGCCAGGTCAAGGAAGCGTTCTAGTGACCGGCGGCCCTCTGTCCCTGTGCACTGTAAGAGGTCCTCCTCCATTGCAGTTCATTTGTTCTGCACTTTGCAAAGCATGAGAGCGCTGGATCTGTGAGCTGCCAGCGCCGTGCACGGGACGTATCTGTCATCAGGAAGTGCTGGAACCGCAGTCTGAGACTTTCCGAGGAAATTGATGTTGGTGCGTTAATTACAATCCCCTCACATGTGTAAAATTCAATTATGATGGAGAATCAATCACGGCCCTCTGCTACGAGATGAATGCCGAGGCAAGAAATAGCTATGGAAGGAAGCACATTTTAAGAGGTTGATGGCAGCCCCGGTCCACCCGGCACGTCGCTGTGGTCATCACTCTGATTTATAGAGAGCAGCCCCCACCCCAGAACCACTGTGGTTTATGAGCTCAGGGCGCATCTCTGTGTGTGCAAGCCTCTCCATAGGTCCAGTGGTCTTGTTAGGACTTTGACCTTCAAATGGTCCTTAAAAGAGCAAACAGATGCCACAAGGACCAATAAAAATCTAAGGGAAGCGTGCACACCCACACGGAAGTGCATCAGGTGAGCAGAGAACGAAGACACAGGTCAGAGCAGAAAGGGGAGAAGCCGGTCATGTTTGTGCCCTGGCTGTGGGCCTTGTTGATGGCGTCGGCTCTCTGTAATTTACAAAAACTATTTTTCAAGTCCTACAGAACAATGTAAAGGCTCCTGTCTGCCCAGCAGGACGCGGCACCTCCCTTTGTGCAGCCAAACATAGGACTTAAATGATAGACTTTGGAATTCTACAAACGTGGTTTCAAGCCCCAGTTCTGAGAGCTGTTAACTGGGTGACTTAATCTTCCAGAGCCTCAGTTCCCTCATCTATACAATGGGAGTCTTATTTCCTATAATGCCTGACATGTAAGAGGGATGCCAATAAATGGCTATCATTGTCATCACAATTATTATCTCTATCACTAAAGTTACCAAATTGCATCAGAATTGTCTACTTTGGTCCTGGACCCCTCGCCAGCCTGGGAATTTCTTAGGGACAACACACTGTACCTTGTTCATATTCTCATTCCCGCTACCATAGGATGGTAAGAGCAAGTACCCAACTAAGGCTAGATGGATGGGAAGGAGAGAGGGAAGAAGGGAGGACAAAAAGGAAGGAATGTGCGATAAAGACTTAGGAGGAATATCCTCTAAACAGCCACGTGAGTTGTGGCTTCTGTTTTTCTGCACGCCACTGCACGCTCATATCCACCAAACAAGGTGATTCAGACCCAGCTCTGAGTGCAGCTGGGCACTGACCTCCAGAACAACATCAGATAAAGGCATCTGATCTACCATCACCCGAAAGCTACTGACTGCGTCAGGCAAGCTGAAGGAAGTTCTACATCCTGAAAGAAACTCCTGAGAAAGAAAGCCTTTGGAATTCCATGATCCTGGAGCTTGGTCTCAGAGTGCTTTGAGGATGTTTAAGAATCAAGGTTTCCTGCTGGGCTACTTGGAAATGATGTGAGTGACGTGAAGAATAAGAGATCCGCCTTAGAGGATTTGTCAGAATCTCTTGGCCGTTCTTACGAACCAGGTCCACTTTTCTCCCCGCTTCTTTATTTTACACTTGAAAGCACAGACAGCCGTTGTGAGAAGGAAATGTCTAATTCTGCCCTCCGTGGTTGTATGGTTTCCAGACCGGCATCTCCAGCTTCACCCTCACTCCCGAGACACATCTCCACTGTCTGATACACGTGTCCTGGTGGATATCATGTCTCACTCCTCAACGTCATAACATTATAATGAAAACTGAAAGAAAATGCAGGCCTTGATGAAATACGTTTTTCATGCGTACCCCAGTGTCATCACACCTCACCCTACTGGTTTGAACAGTGATCCCCAAAGGATAGGCCAAGACCAAACGACCAGGACCTGTGAACCTGACCTTACTTGTAAATGGGGTCTTGGTGGATGTAATTAAGTTAGAATCTCAAGATGGGGGATGGACAGCCAGGTCAAGGAGTAGCAAGGGTTTCTGGCAGCCAACAGAAGCTAGGGAGAGGCAGGGAAAGAATTCTCCCTCGGAGCCCCCTGAAGGAACCAAACCCACTAAGTCCTTGATTTGGACTTTCACCCACCAGAACTGTGAGCGAATACATTTCTGTGGTTTAAGCTGCCAAAGTTCTGATTGTTTGTTATGGCGGCCTTGGAAAATGGATCTACCACTTCAAGGAATCTCTTGATTTGAGGGGCAGGTAAGGAAGGACAAGGTTAAAAAGGTCTACAGAGCCTCTGAGGCCCATGGGGCCCGCTGAGCAGCAGGAAGATGCGTGTGCTGACCACAGGGTGAAAGATGCAGGGGTTCCCAGGAACCAAAGCACCCAGACTTCTCCTTACACCCTGTCTTTACTCCCCATGCATATACTCAACTCACTGACGAGCCCCAGAAAACTAAGGTGCAATAAAGAAGCCCCAGTTTGTTTAGACTTTTCATCTGAGTGCTGGCAGGGACAGAGGTCTCGATCGCCTCATCAACCAGGGAGGTTCCTGCAGCTGGGAGAACACAGCAGGCCACCTTCTCTGACTCAGACGCCCGACAGATACCTCCTCCCTCTTCATCAGCTCAGTGGAACTTCTCTTTCATCTTCCCTTTTGTTCTTTCCAGGATGTAGACTAGGTCTGCTGCAGAAGATGCCCGTAATTGGGCCTATTGTTTCATGGCTAAGACAGTGGAGACAGCCACTTAAATCAAATGGCAGCTCCCACAAAGCAGAAGCCCAGGCAGTTTGCATAACTGTAAAGCTGAAACCACAAGACACTGACTCAGGGCGGAGATGGGCAGGTCCCTCTAACTGGTGGGTTGGGGCCAGCAACTCTGATTCCTGTTCTGGCTACCCTGATAATTACTTGAATTCCTCTGAAACTCTGGGGCAGAGTTCTCTCAAAATAGGCCAGAAAACATGGCTGTGGTGGCTGTCCCCGGGGCTGAGGATGTCAGTGGGTGGAGGTATCTGACACCCAGGCAAAAAGTGGAAACTGTTTACTACTCTCTGCAGCTTGGCCAG